TGTATGTTCACTTTCAAGCTATTAAGATTTTCCCCCTTTGTAGGTAAAAGAAAGAAAAGAATTTTATCTTAAAGATCATGGGAAAATTCCTTACGATAGGGACAAGAAGGAGTATTATTATATGCTTTTCAATGTACTGGGGATGCTATCCATAAAACACATCCTGAAAATCATTGTTATTATGATTTTCGGATTTTGTAACATTTAAATTATATTGCCAGACATTTTAGGTAACACTAGAAATGAACTGCGTTAACATACAGCTTTCTGAAATTAGATCAATTTCCTGTTACAGATCATCCTAATGATCATAATTATTTATAAAAGGAGATAATGAAAGGAACTACAGGGAAGCATAAATTTGAAAGCAGATAAGCCTCACAAATTGGGTTCGGTTGGTAAGAAGCAAAGGATCTTATCACTTTATTTTCACAAATGACAATCAATGGTGGCTTTGCCAAGTGCTAATCAATTACATTAGTCTTCATCAAAAACTTGGCTCTTAAGTTTCATTATAGCCACATATGCTTGTATGTAATTATTTATATGCTCTTCACGTCACTTCTTATAACCTTCTGCTGGCTTCTTTACACACACAAACCCACACCCACCCACCCACCCCTTAAACAAGCGTAGATCAGACTTACTCTTTCAAAACGAGCTAGCTAAGCTCACTAATATTTATGATACAAATAAATGTCAAATGAACTAATGTTCATGTTAGTTATATAGTTGAATTTCCACTCCAGTTAGCGGGGTGACGTAGTAGAAATTCCATTTCTACATCAGTTTTGCGTATAATTGACGGGATAATATAGACGTTAGGCAACAGATTTGTACTATATGAACCAGACATATACGGTCACAAGCGTCACAAAACTTTATAGAGTAACGAAGTGAACTGCATGAAAGTTATAAGAGTAGAGAAGGAAAGAGGTGTTCAGTTCCTCTGAAGCGTAAAAGCAGAAAGAAAGGATAAAAGAGGGAGCATGCATTATGCGTAGCTTTATCATGAAATACACGAGCAAAAGATGATGAATTCTTGGCAGTTCTGAACTACGCAATTACCTGAACAAGGGTGACAAATTAAACGAGGCCAACGACATCAACATTGTGGCCAGAATCTCCTCTTAAGAGTGTTGGCTGCCGAGAATGAGACGTGCGTAATGCATACAGGTACAACACATACCTTAGAAAGCAATATAAAGTTGGTCTTATTTACAATCCCGCTTCTTCTTTTTTGGTGAATCCTCATGCATATTCCCTCTTTACTTTAACCCTTCTCCATTTGCTTGTTGGCTTTGAAAAATGTTATATATTGCTTTTATCATTTTTCTGGAATTTATATCTAAAGTCAGTGATCATATATTATAAATTAAAGAATTTACACATGAAAAATAAATTCATATGTCATGTCTTCAAGACAACCTAACGATGACCAACTCCACTTCCTTTCTCTGATCATCTTAATTGTGTCTTCTTGGAAGATTGATATATGTATGTATGTATGTATGTATGTATGTTTGTATATCACTTTTACCGGGAACTCAGTATTTTGCATGTCTTATTATATATGTCTCTGATGATTGCTAATAATTAACCACACCATTAACTTGAAAGATATTCACTCGACCCTCTGCCAATAGGACAGCATATACGCGCAGCCAAGCACATCAGAGCCAAAGTTTCAAGTTGTGCCAAATTCTGGCACTAGAAAGGAGCATCTATACATTTCAAATCTCAAAAGTCACAGTGCCATCGGGCTAGTGCAGATTGCTGTTAAAGTGCACTTTAATGTTGATCGTCTTATTCTGAGTCCTTATTGATATAAAATTAATTAATTGAGTTTATAGTTTACTTTGTTGACACAAACAGATCAGATTTACAAGCGATTTTATAAAAATGTGACAGGATTAGTTCGATCGTATCAATATTGAGAAGAAATGAGTCTTGAGTTGTCCTTAATTAGTAAGCTTTTTGAAGCGTGCACATGTCACTGCCTCCAATATGCGCTCGATTGAGTTATCCTTAACTGGTGGAGGACCCTCTTAAATGCTCACTAGTGCATCTATTACTCATAGACCTATTGAAGAATCCCACACCTTTCAACATCAAACTAGCCACGTACCTATGCAATTCTATCTCCTTCTCCTTCTTCTGATTCTTATGTATCACCCCAAGATATATGAGTGTGTACGTGGGAATTGAAAGGAATGGCTAGTTCATTCTGATTCTGTGTGAAAGGAATAGCTAGAATTGTATTGTGTGTGTGTGTGTGTGTGTGTGTGTGGGGTATGTATAATAATAGTAGTTGATTGTTTGGTGTTTGGAAGGTTATGATTGTGGTTGATTTGATCGGAGGGAGCAAAAGGGTGGTGGTTAATGTAGAATGTGGGGTTAATATGGTTTTATAATTATGATTAGAATCTTATTATTATGCAAAACCAGACACGAGTAGCTGTCGCAGTTGCAATCATGGGCCATACAGTCCTTCCTTTTCAATAGCAGTATGGACCCACTCCACATATCAAATTAGCATCTTCCCTTGGTTTGGTTTGCTTTCATACTCTCCAAATCATGAGTTTGACCAAATAAAGCCAACTCTGACTCTCAATATATCCCTACATAAGTATTTGTATTCCAAATGAAGATGCAAATTTTGGCAATCCAATAGTATCAACTAATCTAAATTCAAGTATCATTGATGATAAATGTGAATAAGATAACTTTCTCAGTACAGTTTTATTTTCTATCCACAAAAACTAGAGAATGATATCAAATATGCCTTATTTAAACGATCTCTTTTCTTTTCCTTGATCCAATCTATTAATCTGGATCATGTAATAGTATAGAAACTTTAATTAATTAATAGAAAAACATAGCTATTAGTCCTTGTAATTTTATCATATTTTGTTATTGGTTTTTGAACATTTTTTCTTTAATTTTGGTCCCTATAATTTTTTTCTAGTCTTTTTATTTTTATATATATCTAAAGAGATGATGATGCAGAACGAACAATATTAAATTAAGGCATTTGATATATAAGATAAAAGATTTAACCCACAATGACTGCAGTTTACTTTTTGATGCTAACAAGCACATTAGTTTTCGTCAAAAAGCAATGGTCTTTTTTTTTTACCTACTATTAATTCAAATCGTGTTTTAAACATGTTAACATCCTCATTAACATTGTTAGTTATACATTAGATAATTTAACAATGTTATTGGTGCCATATCATTATTCCTCTGAACATATTTAAAATAAAGGGATTAACATTAAACAGAAAAATTAAAGAATTGGAACATCAAAAAAATATAGAAAGACCAATAACAACATGCAATAAAAATATAGGAACCAATAGTTATGTTTTTCCTTAATTAAATCTCACTTTTGAATATGATATTATATATAAACAAAAAATTACACAACGAGTGAATATATAAAATAATTTGTTCTTCTCCCTTCATAATTATATTAAAGACGAGAAATTTTATAATTGAATACACAATTTTCTTTCTCTAAAATTTTAAATGCATGCAGTTAATTAGCTATCAAACTTGCATAGCATATATCTCATCAATATATCAATATACATAATTTATAATATAAGTAACATAATTCACAAATTATAATATATTATAATTTCCCAAGATTTCATGCATTAATATGTGAAAAACTTGTCTATTTTATCTTATTTTATTTTTCTAAAAGAAGTCATGTGGAATATAAAAATGCGAATTGTTTAAAAATGTTTAAAAGCAACCTTCTAGAGATCATAAGCTTATTTTTTATTTGTATTTTATTGTTGAGGCAGGTAAGACATCAATTGTTAAAGACAAATTTCTCACTCATCTCAAGCATGTGCTCATCTAACATAAGATCTGAACCATTTAGATTTTTCTCTGGATGGTCCAGATTACATCTAAATAAAATATTATTATTACATATTATATTTATTAAAAGAAAAATTTATTAAAATTACAAAATAATTTTAATAAATTTTTTTATTTTAACATGATCTAGATTTAATTTAGATAGTCCAATTTAATATTAAAATTTTTATAACTGATGTATATTAATTATTTAGGTGTAATTTGTATTATCCTAAACTATGTAGAGTATATCTGGATAATCAATATACATTAATTATAAACATTTTAATATTAAATTAGACCCTCTAAATTAAATCTAAACCAGATTAAAAATAAAACATGTATTAAAATTATTTTATAATTTTTATAAATTTTTATTTAAATAAATATAATGTAATATAATATAATAATAATCTTTGAGATGAGCATGGAAACTGGACCTGACAAATTCGGGGTTATGGTTCATATACACACACTAATTTGAATCTTTTATATATATGATATTGACTACACAAGTATATTTATGATAGATATATCGAGGTATAAAAAAAGGTAATATATAGAAAAATTGCAAATCATATAAGGGTCATGTTTTTTTGTCCTTTTTAAACCTCTCTAAATACATGATTGTAAAACTGACATACTCTCTCTATTTAAAAATGTAATATATTTTTTGAGGAGTTGAATATTAAAAAATCTAAGACATTTTTAATCTTTTGAAATATAATTATTACTTTTTTTAAAAAAAATGTCCCTATTGATGAATGAATTTATATTTATTGTAAAATGTTTGATAGAGATAATATAAAAAGATAGAGTTAATTTGAAAGTAAGTAACTACTTTATTAAGGGTTGAGATTTAGTTAAAAATGCCTCACATTTTTTAACGGAGGGAGTATGAATTTATTCATGAACATTAATTACTTAAGGAAATTATTATATATTCAATTGAATGGTCTAACTTTAGTATCTACTATGGTTCCATGAGAAAGAGATGAGCAGTTGAGAATTATTAATTCAGAAATCACCACTTCCACAACCTATTGCTGATGTGGCGTGCGATGATTGGGTGATGATAAAACAAAACTACTTTGGAGAGTCGGTGTCCCATTATGCTCCTAAACAACCAGAGAGCACCAAAAAAGGTTGGTAAGGTAATGCTGCTCGATTAATTTCTTCTTCTTCTTCTCTTGGTCATAGCTGGAATTAAAAAGTTTACATGCTAGCTGGGTTAGGGTTAGGGTTAGAGTTAGTCACCAACAAAGCACTGATATGTATATATAAACGATCATTTAAAGAATCCTTATTCAAGTGTTATTTCAGCTGGTAGTACTGCATCATATCGAGACTGTGAGAGAGAGAGAGAGAGAGAGGATGAAGAAGGTGGTGACAAGAGTTGACGACGCAGTGGTTTGGAACATTCGATACGGAGAATGTCAGAAGAATCATGCGGCTTCCATGGGAGGGTATGCTGTGGATGGTTGCAGAGAATTCATGGCTAGCTCCGGCGAGGGCACAAGTGGGGCTCTCACTTGTGCGGCTTGTGGCTGCCACCGCAATTTCCACAGAAGACACGAGCAAGTCGAGGGTCGTCTGTGAGTTATCTCCTTCAATTCTGCCTCTCAACCCAACTAATAAACGCAAACACACCCACTTAATTATTATCTTTATTTATACACGTTTGATATATAGTTGTTATGCCTTCATAAATTTGTGTGTGGGAATTATCTATGTATATTGTTACTTACTGAACTTTAATGGTCCCGATCTTGATCACTTCCTTGGTTTCTGAGTGGGGATTGTACAACAGATTCCATTCTTGATTTCTTGTCAAGAATTAATTGATATATATTATTGGATGCTTCAGAGTTCTCAGAGTTTAATTTGTTTTTGTAATCTTCTTACACACACACACACATATATATATCCAAGTGATCTCTATTCTCTCGTAATTTGCTTTTTCCATAGCTTTCACAGTTTCTTCATCTTCTTCTTCTCTTCTTTCTATTCCCTTTTTTTTTAATTCATGTTTCGCCACAGATACTCGGTGCAAATTAATGTTAGATGATCTTAACTAGCGTGTCATCAATTAATTGGAAACCATACTGGTTTTTTAAATTTCCTGTTTTTTGGGCACTGGATCGATCGAGGAGGGAACCCGTTCATCTTTTAGATAGGGCAAACATATTTCCTTGTAGATAGTGCCCCTCACTCCTTTGATTGGAGAATTATACCCATTATACTATGTAATACAATTATCTTTGTCAAGCTTTTGCGGATACAAGAAGCTAGAAGCTTAGAAGCGCAAGCCAAGAATATAATTTTTTTATCAATATACCGAAATCGGATATATATGTGCGTCTTTCATTTGCATATATTGCATATATACTTGATCATCTAGCGACGTGGATTTTTAACAGTTTGAAACAGGCATGCATTTGAGATAAATTTATATTATATATATATATATATATATGTCAGTGTCAGAAAGATTTCTCAAACCAATTATAACGTTATGGAATGAGCGGCTTTTATAGTTTCACTTCTGCAGGATAGGCATATCCATAGCGTCTTATGTTCTCTCATTGGCAAGAAAACAGGTTAGGGTCTATATATATATGTATGTATGTATACATGTATCTGACGAAGAAGATAATTTATCCTTGTCATAAAATCATTTAGCATTTGATGAAATCTATTATAATTCCAAGCAGCAGGCCCACCTGGATCCCATCATGTCCGGGATGCATATTAGTTACTTATATATTAATTAAAGTTGTCTAAAGGTTGAGCCGAAAATTTTTACATATAGTTGACAAGTAACTGGTCTCTCTTTTTTGGCTGGTCAGTGGTATCAGTTACAAACAGCATTAAATAAATGTTTCATAAAAGACAAAAAGGAGAGCACAATGATGCAGATTCATTAATATATAGTTGGAACTGGAAGTGGCAAGCACCTCCACACAATCTTTTGCCTCATGATGTATGGGCATTTGAATTGATTATTGCTTGTTTGATCGATAAAGCATGCACATAACACACAGTTCAATAAATCAACCCAACTCATCTGTTAATTTTGATTTTGTGGGAGATATATATATATATATACACACAATAATGTCTATGCCGTTGATGAGGAAACTGAGTGAAGTCAGGCCAAACAACAACCAGTGAATGTGGTAGATGGCATTATTTTTCAGATGAGCTCTATTGACTTTTCTTTAGAGTAGTGATCAAGTAGTCTGTACAGGGCGGCCGTCAAGTATATATTTTAGAAGATATTCTTTATAGGGAGTGGACAACATTGATGGCAGACACAAGCAATTAGCAACTTAGTCACCCCACCTTTGTATACGGGGATATATATGTTGTAGGGTCCGTAAAAGATTGAAGTGAGCAAAAGACTGCTAAGTATTGAATCATTCGTGTGCATGATTCATGTGATGAGTCCCCTGATTAGGTATAGAAGCATGGTTGGCCTAAAAATATTTGTCTATGACATGTCTGGGGAAAGATGAGCGTGCTTGTCCTTGTTTTGTTGCTGATTCTCACTTTCTGCTGTACGTTTCAATTTGGCCATTCTGCATGTTCATGAAAAGCACCGGAATACATATGCACCCAAATTCCTTTTGTTGAGCTCTCAGCTGTGTGTTCTCCACTATACATATATATATGTCCCATCGTTTATTTATATTAATTACTCTACAAAATGAACTATATTTAATAAGCAGCCAATTTTCCAGAAGTGAGCAGTACTGCATCGTGGACTATAATTAGCTAGTTAACGAGATATATATTGACACTTCTCTATGATTCTTTACTCTCTAGAGTTATACAGCGATATTGGATGAGAAATTTGAATTAGATGTAAATATATGGATATGATGAGATAGATGGGATCTGTTATTTAAGTTTATTAGAAAAGACAGAATTTTCAGTTCCCATGGAAAAAGAATCTGCAGTAGTGTATGATACATGTGCCATGGAAAAGAAATATTGCTACTACTTGCATTTTGTGTGCGTGTGTAGAGAGAGAGAGAGAGAGAGTTTAAAGATGTTTTTCCTTTGCTTCATCATAAAGTTTTTTTTTTTTTTTGGGTACAATCATAGATTTGTTGCAGTACCTAGCTAGGAGGTTTCAATGTTTTGAGCGCGAATAATATCACCGGTATACATATGCTGATATGAGATTCATCTGTTGCGACACACTCACTGATGAATTAGCTTCAAGGGAAAATGAGGGCGGATTTTAGTTTTGGATTGTTTATCAGTTTTTGCGAATAATATGGGCGGATTAAGTTGTCGATTACTTTCTAATTAATGTCCAGCCCTTTGATTAGTCACACACAGCGATAATTGAAATAAGATGATCATGTTCAAACTTTTTTTTTTTTAACATGTCGCGGCCTTCTTCTCATATTAATAGCAAAGAGTAAAAATTACATCAAAGAAGGAACCCCATGAAATCAACAAGCTAAGTGATAAGCAAAATATTTAAAAGAAAAGAAATCGGAAAAGTAATAAAATGTAAAGCAATGTAACGCACACGCACATTTCCATTTCCTATAACATATATAGTTAATGACATTTACTGATGTGAGCATTAGCTAGTTAGTGTCTTCCTTGCCTTCCCTTCTCTCATGTGGCACTTGACCAGTTGACCTTGATCTCACGTGGGCATGTGCCTAGTAAATTAATTAAGGCAGCTAGCTATTGCCACGTATCATTAATTAATGAAGGTTTGTACAGTGCGGCCAGCCGGCTGGGCCCTAATATTTCGGCTTTCACGTTATCTGATTTTTTTTAAAAAAAAAAAAAAAAATCCGACCTTAGTAGTGACTTGTGAGCTATAAGTACGGGTGATGCATTGCTGAACGTGGGTTTGGCTCCAGAATTGCTGCGCACAAAGCAGGCCTTAATAGGTATGCAATAGCCCCAGCCTAATCATTATTAAAATTGTCAATATAATTAGGGTTTAGTTTAGTTCTGTCTGGTCTTAATTAGGACTATATGAGATCACGCCTTGCTGAAAGCCTTCTTAGAAATGGGACGTAAATTTCTTAATTGGTCTGATATATATTTATAAGGCCTTAAAGCTCATTCTAAGAACTTAACCCGGTTATTTCTACCATATATATATGTATATATAGCTAGACAATCTTAAGGGCTGAAAGATCTTAATAAATTTGAGATATTTTTTTGGGCCATTGCATTAATGTATAATATTTTGAACGTTTGTAAACACATATATAAACTATACACTACAAAAAAATGTTGCTTTTGGGGGTCTTTTCCTGCTTTAGATTAATTTTAAAACACCCCTAAAAGTGATTCCGGGTTTTACTAAAAATACTACCAAAATAGGTGCCGCCACTACTTTGGCAACGTTTTCCTAAAACATCGAAAAACCACAAAAAATGCTTCTTAAAGAGGCTTTTTTTTTTTTTTTACTGAAAAAACCTCTAAAGAAGTCATTAAGCTAAGGAATCTTTAGAAGCGTTTGTTAAAAAAAGCCCCCCTTAAGAGGCATTTATGAGCAAATGTCATAATTCTAAATGAATGTCCATTTTTTGTAAATCCTTCCTTATTTGATATTGATTTTTTGACTTTTCAATCTCATTCAGTAATATAAAGATTAAATTGTCACATACATTTTTTTTTTCAATATGCATGACATATAAATTGTGACGCAACAAATTGTTTGCCCAATATGGTAGATTAAATAAAATACTTTTCTTATGCCATTGTTGAATGTCTTCACTATATGTACCTCAAAACCTTTTGGCTAATGAGCCCGTCACATTATCTTTTTCAAAAACATTATTAATATTATCAATTTGTTTCAAAATATCCATGCCATTTAAAAGAATAAGAGAATCTTTACGCTCATGGCTTCCATCAAATTTAGCTCAAGCTACCCTAAATTTGTAATTATGATCCAAAAATTGACAATGCCCCATAAAATAGCATTTTCAACTATGAGGAAGTCTATAAAAAATTGAATCAAATTTCCAAGACGGGCAAGCTAATCCTATGTGTACATTCCAACCAAATAATGTCCTTAAGCTTAGGAAATCACTAATAGTCCATATCAAAGCCGCACGCAAATTAAAAACTTCCTTAGAGTATGAATCATAAGTATCAAAACCAATGTTCCACATATCTAACAATTATTGAATTAATGGTTGTGAGTAAAAATCAATGTCATTATCAAGTGCTCTGTTTCTAAGAATAATCATCACTAAGATGAAAAAACTTTGTTTCGCACACATCTATAATGGAAGATTATATGGCATGAGAAGCACTGGCCATATAATATAACTTGTACTCAATGTCCCAAATAGATTAAAACCATTTGTAGCCAAAGCTAGCCTAACATTTCTTGTGTCTGCTGCAGATTTTGGGTACAATTTGTTGAAATGCTTCTAGGTCATAGAATCCCTCAAATGTCTTAACATATGATCATCACTTCTTTCATCATAATGCCATCTCATATGTTTGGATGTCTTCGATGACATATACAACCTCTGTAAGCATGGTTTTAATAGAAAATATCTCAAAATTTTTGCAGTTTTTTTCTTTCCTTTTTTCCACTTCTTCAATTTCCATGTGGAAGTGTTGCACTTTTACACACTTCAATGTCTTCATCAGGACTCCTGCATAATATACAATTATTTGGACACATATCAATTTGGACCCCAGTAATTTATTTATCTTTTTCCTTGCTTCATAAAATGATTTTGGAATTTTAGCATTTTTAAATATATCTGCTAATAATTCAAAAATCATGGACATTGCCTTATTATTGATTCCACACAAGCACTTGAAGTGATATAATTTTTTCAAAAAAAAAAAGATGTGTATTTTTCAGACTCATCAAACAAAGGTTGCTCTCCCTCTCTTAAAAAATTCATAAAAATTTCTAGTCTCTTCATCCATTTGATTCAAAAATAATGAATCACCACCAGCTACTTCTTGAAAAATTGCCATTTCTTGTGGCTCTTCAAATGCATCATGAATTATATTAATGATGGGATTTTTCTGTTGCACTGGGGATAACATTTCAATTCTTGCTTTTGAACTTGCTAAGATATCTACACATTCATCTACCCTATTACATGTCTCCCCATGCATTGCCCAGAATGTACATCCTTGAGGAAATTATTTTAACACCAAGTGCTCTCGAACATCATTTCTCTGATGCCATTTTTTAAAATTACATTTTGGACATGAACAAAGAATGAGTTCAACTCCATCTTCATGTGACGTTGCACAATCTAAAAATGTTTCAAGTCCATTTAGATATTTTTTCAAAAGTTTGAGGCATATTAATCTATGATCTATCCATCACTGAAAACATTTAAATTTTATGAGATTTATATCCTGACAACAATAAATTCTACACATTAAAAATATTTATTTATAAACAATATTTTACTTATTTATAACTTAAATTTTTACCTAAATTTAATTTAATATTACATTTAACTAAAATCACTTAAAATTAAAAAATTGAATATCATCAAAAAAAAATAAACACGCATTAACTAAATGTATATTAACTCCATCATCTATTTATTTTGAGCAAGTACATAATAATATTAAAATAAATAACTATATGGATAAAAAATTTAAATTTAATCATAAAAATTTTACTAACATGGACTCACAAGCTTCCTTTACAAATATTTTGAGTAAAATATTTCAATAATCTGCAAATTTTTAATTCAAATAATCAAAAAAACCATATAATAAATAAAAATTTATGAAAAAAGATTCCAACAAAAAAAATTAGGCAAGAAGACATACTTTGCGCAAGTAATTTTCATTTGCCCGCCTTTTATAAGCCAACGAGTAAACACCCGCTTCATACATAGGGGGCGTTTGTAGAAAAATGCCCCCATGGCCGCATTTATGTTTGAAAATGTCCCAAATGTTACAGTTTTTGAGGCGTTTCAGTAAAACACTTTAAACAAAATGTCTCTAAAGTACACCTTTTTTGCAGTGATAGAGCTCTATCTAGTTACTAAAATTGTTTCTTAGAGGATCGACCAAACTTACTATTTAATATGATTGTGTGTGCAGTGTGAGAGAGAGGGGGAAGCGGAGTATGGTCTTTAGATGAGATGTTAAATGGAAGAATATTATTATGATCACAAATTAATTGTTTGGATTAATGCAAAAAATAATAGCGTGCAAAACTCAATAAAATATTAATTACTCTTTCCGTTCAAAAATATAAATTATTTTTTAAGGAGTTAGATGTTAAAAAATATAAAGTATTTTTAATCTTTTAAATTATAATCATTGCATTTTTTTTTTCTAAAAATGCCCTTCTTTAATAAATCATTTTATATTTGTTTTAGGGTCAAACACCTTATTAAATTAAGATAAATATAAAAAAAAGATTAATTTGGAGATAAATAATTATTTTTTTAAGAGATGAGATTTTATTAAAAAATTTTTATATTTTTAAACGGATGGAATATATAATTGTGGCTATTCCCACATTAAATAGAATCAACCATTAAGTTGTAACAACTTGGGAGTGACTCTCATCTTTTTCTTTTACTTAATGGATTCAATATCTGGAACAAAATCAAATAAACTACTTAATGCACTCATATTTTGTCACATATACTCTTATCGTTACAAAAGATCATAGACAATTTTTACACCTAATAAGAGAAACTCTTTTATATTTATGTAAGGTTTAAAATAAGTCGCGGTTTGTGAATGAACAATAAGGCGTCTTCAAAAATTGTGCTAACGTTCATGGGCCAAAGATGGAAGTTTGCTTCAAATAAGGCATTGGACCGTAGAATGAACCACTGGACTGACGAAGAAGCCCATTTACTGATTTGGACTCAGCCTTATTCCTCTGTCGACGTAATTTATAGATGCCATCACAACTATTTGTTTTTTTTTTAAATTTTTTAAAAAGTAAAAAACATCATCATTATTTTCCATTAATAAATATTTGTTTTAATTTCATTTTGTCCCTGTCATTTCTATCCTTTTAACATATGAACATACCCTTGGTGCAATGTTCAGGTATTTCCCGCCTTGTAATTCAAGATAATGCAGATTCCTAATACTCTTAAAAAGAATCAGGCTCATCAGACTGAAATGTATGCAGATTCATCTAATCTAAATCATATATTATAAAACACTTTGAACGTGTTATTTTCTCCGTCAAGCTTAATCAATTTTTTTAGAATTTTGTTTCCGAGGATAACATTTGATCGTTCTATTCTTTTAAAACGATACGATATTACAGCAAAAAGAAAAAGAGCCTAGGAAACAAAAAAAAAAATCTAATTTAAAACTTGAAAGGCAAAACACAAAGAGATCATGAGTTCAAAACACTTTATCATTTCATCCGGATTTTGAATTTCTACTGCAGTAAATAACATTTTACAGTAATTTAATAAAAAAATAGTTAAACAAACTCAGATTATAACATAATTGTAAGAAAATAGGAAAACATAATTATTTATCCCTCTAATTTAAGCATGTTTTAGTATAAATTCTTATATTTTTTTTTTTTTCATTGCCTGAGGTCCTTCTAATTTATTTTATTTGCAACATGAATTCCTCTATTTTTAAACATGATAAAAAAGACCATGATAAGACACAATAATGTTAAATACGGTGACATGCAATTAACGCTGTTAATTTGTGTTCAGTTGAATTATAATTCAGCTTATTAACGCCATTATTTATCCTAGTGTGTATCATGTTTCAAACTGTTGAAACATAATTTTACTTCTACACAAAGATTAATGTTGTTTGTTTCGGGATCATAAATGTGTTTTTCAGAGAAAATATATGAAATATGAAGGAGATAGAAAAGCTGCGTGATGGGATGTCGCTCTCACCGCGTCTCCCGACTCCCGCACATGCCATCCTCTCCCCAATTATTAACTCTTGGAAATTGATATTCTCATGACGCAACAAAAATTATTAACATCATTTTAAGGACCCCGAACTTTAGTAAAAAGTTTCCGTTATCATTAATAAGGAGAAAAGTATAACAGAAATTTTAAGTTTTTTGAAAAAAATAATAGAATATTTAAAATAATTAAAATAGTATTAATTCCTGGTTTAAATGTTTAATAGCTATCGTTTCACAGGCATACCCACTTTATCTTGGAAGAGGGGGCTTTTTTTTTTCATCTCCATCATTCAAATTATATTATTAAATAATTTTTTTAAATAATAAAATTAATAAATGGTGGGAATGAGAGAAGTGGAGGCAAAAAAAAAAATGAAAAGGCTCTCGCTCCCTTTATCTTGTTCCTCAGTGTCATCCTGCGCTCGTTAAAAAACATGAGGTGCTTAATCACAAATCTAGACGGCTCAAGTGAAAATTGAATTATTTTATATTTAATTTTGAATTCGGACTGTAGTAATTAAATTTAAATAATGCATGTCTCACTATAACGATGATCACGTAGTACTTATAGTGGTCATCCGGTAACAAGCCCTGAACGTAGTGGTCGAACCACATTAGGTTAAAGGGTGCATTGGAAAACCTTATAAGTATAGTATGTAAATTTTACAATTTTACAACTTATACTCTTAATATTTTGTGCTTTTATAAAAAAATATTTGGGTTAAAAAAATTTTTTTATATATAATATTTTAATAATTTAAATAATATATGAGAAACATATTTACAACAAAAAACTATATCAACTTGATCGATGTAATTTTTATAAATAAAAAATAATGATCAATCTATTTATATTATTAAAATTTTAATTTTAAGATAATTATTATTTTTAAAAAATTATTAATTTTATATTAAATTTTTTTGTACCCTAACTCAGCTTCAACACTGATTGAATGGGAACTCCTTCCATGTGCTTTTTCCATGGCTTCATGACAGCATCACATGGGTGGCGCCTCAGCAGACAATGAAATAAGGTCCAATCAAAACTCAATACTAGTTTTGGAAAAATAATGAACTCTTGTGGCGCACATGATTCTTTTTGTTATCTCATCCACAAATCGATCATCCATATTTTCTTTGATATTATTTTTTAGTTGGTTCAGATACGAGCATTGTTAAGCGCATCCACAAATCGATTATCCATATTTTCTTTGATATTATTTTTTAGTCGGTTCAGATACGAGCACTGTTAAGCGCAATTGAAGATAAAGCAATTCTCCCAAAAAGGGTTTTTACTATTCATATGAACCTGATCTCAAAGCCGATTGTATTCCTTTCAACTAAAACCAATAAGTACTTGCTTGCTGTTTTCCTATTAACATTGTAATAATTGTTTGTACCTTTAATAAGAGTGAAATATAAAATCAGAGTAAAAAAGAGCACATGGCAATGTCGCGTCCAGTAGATCCTGGCTTGAGACATGAATGTTTTGTCGAAGATGGAGGGCCCCAGCGTGAAGAAAGTGCACATGTCAAGTAGTGCAGTTGCGGGAGCGGGACAAAGATGGGGGGATAAGATGCCCACCACGCGTCCAATTATGGCATTCAAGTCTTAAAATTGCCCCCTTCCTTCACTCAACCACTGATATTTATAGCCCACCCCGCACTCTGTTTCTGCACACTTGATTCACAAAGAGTTTCATAGCTTTCTCTTGCAAATGGCCGTCGCGACCAAGCTTGCGTGCTTACTGTTTCTAGCGCTCCTGGCCATTGTCATGATCCCACCCCAGGTCCATTATTTTTATATGTCTCCATTCTCAGTATTCTCAACACTTAACACAATCTAAGACGGCCTTCTTCCTGATTTGTGCAGGTCATGGCAAACAATGCAGACCAGCCACACGCTTCTCTCACCGTAAGTCCCTTCCTTAATTCCTCACCGAAATTCAATCACACTACTATTCCGATATCTGATACGAGGGGTGATGCATGTATATGTTGCAGGGGAACTACGGACCTGGCAGCCTGAAGAGCTACGGTAAGTAAGCTAGAGCTAGCAACCATATGAATGACACTCACAGTAGTAGCGATGAATGTTAATTAATTTAAGATAGATGAATGGGTGAATTGGTTATTGATTAGAGTGCCCGGGGCAGTGCACGAGAAGGTGCAGCCAGACACAGTACAAGAAGCCATGCATGTTCTTCTGCCAGAAGTGCTGCGCCAAGTGCCTGTGCGTCCCTCCCGGCTTCTACGGCAACAAAGCCCTCTGTCCCTGCTACAACAACTGGAAGACCAAGCGCGGAGGCCCCAAGTGCCCTTGACTTCTTTCATTTCTCCATCTACTCTTGAGCCGTATTTATCACTCGGCCTATCACTACGTCCCCATTTTCTATGTTCACTGTGCTCTAGCCTTTTTCCAAACGCCCCCGGCGTTTTTCTATTCACAAAGGGCCTCAAGTTCTATTCGGGCCGACTCTCACACCCATGGGCTCATGTATTTTACTACACCCACCATCATTTTAGGTCTGTATTCAAATTTCAAAGGGTTAAATATAGTTATTTGGATGGACAATTTTATGTCCTGGGTGTCCTAAAAGACTGCACTGTGATTAGCTCGCTTAAAAATTTAAGTTTATTTACTCCGTTTTTTCCCAACAATTTTACTCACCATGGGTGTCGGTGGTGGTTTTGGATCTTTTTTGGTTTTATTTTCCCTAGTCTCCTGTGTTCTAATTAAAAAAATTTCAAACGCCTAGGAGTGTACGGGATCTTGTTCCGATCCAGTTCCTAGGAATTATAATCGATATCGTGTCCTGGCCATCAAAAAGATCTTTTTTTAAAAAAAATAAAAAATCCATCAATTTCAATAATAATAATAATAATATGAGATATAAAATTTATAACAAGATGTAATATTCACAAGTTACCCACATTGTAACTCATCTTAGACCTCGTGATATTTGAGTTTGAAAATCATCAGTAAAATCTAACCTTTTTTGCCTGCCTTCGTTGGAAAGAGTGGGAAGCCAGGCTAATGAAAAACAAGAAGGGAATCATTTGATGCTCCATGACGTCGCCTTTTGTGCGCGCTAGGTTAATGAAGCTTTGGATCCAATTAGTGAAATAGACATTGTCATTAATACGACTAATCAATATCTAAAAGATAAATAAAAAAGATTCTCCGTTCCAGAAGTTTGCTATTATATAATCTAGCAGTGTGAGACAAAACTCACGGGCTCGTGAATTAGGAAGTAAGAAAGTTCCTAAACATGCTTCCTTTTGACGAGTACTTGCATAAAAAAATCACATACCACAACTCGTAAATATCAAGAAAGGGTCCCCTATGCCTAGCCAACTGATCCCAGTGGATGATGGCCCATAATATCAGATAACGACAAGAAAAGGATTATCGGGTGGCGCGTAAAAATAATATGAACGGTGTTGCTCCCAAAAAAATTGAAAATTTTGTGTGTGTGAACGACGAAATAGGTAAAGACAGCGGGCTAACTGTACAGGTGTTGTGTCCATTTTCTGTGTGAACTAGCTGAAAATATTCAATGTTCAAAACCCATTTATTTATCTTTCCTCAATGGAAGAAATATCAACGGAGAATGGTGCATGGTAACCATTAAAATAGGGCATTGATATTTGACATATAAGTCCTACTAAATGAATTTATTACATTAAAGTTTTTATACATTTTTAATAAGAAAAATGGGTGAAAAGGACCTGGTTAAAACCAAAATTATTCCAAAAGCTAAATGTACTTAAAGGATCAAGTTGAATCTTTCATTCATTTAACAGTGTTATCATTTAACCAAAATGCCTTTATCTTAAACAAAGAAATTTAAAAAAGAAAGCCACCATTTCTTCGCACGATTTAGAGAAACATAAGAGTTAAGAATGTTGTAAAATGGTCCATTGTGAGGACGAACTTGACCGAGCAACAACGATGATATAAGGTTTGAACAAGTCGTGAGTGACAATTTTTCAAAAAAACAATCCCATTGGAGAACCAAACCATCGAAGAACCAGAGAGCCGAAGCGATGGTCAAGTAGTTGTGACGCGTGGTGTCAACAAAGTAGCAAGCAGTGGTGTAAGAGGACTTGGTCGAATGAGGTCAAGAATGACTAGAAAGTAGTGTGCATCTTCTTGATTGCCTCAAAATCAAATATTCTTCATATTGCACCTTTTCTTGAATATTGCGTCTCCTCTTGTTGAATCCACTCTCCATTGTCGAGTTCAAAAACATATTTAAGTTTGTTTAATTATTCTTTATTTACACTTTTTTACTTTATGTGTGAAATAGTGACTAGCTATTTAAACTAACTCTGTTAAGTCTCCTATTCAACGAAAGATGATCTTTTCATAAATACATTTTAAAATATAATCACTTTTTCATTCAATCTTCTAAAGGGATTCCTTAATCAGCATTTTGTTGTAGCTCATTTAAGTTATGAGATGCATGTAAGAGCTTTTTGACTTGAATTTATTTTTTTTCCTCTTTAGAAAAAACCTTATGCTTTGATGTGTATAAAACATTAATGAAAACTAGTGGCCATAACAAGTGGGTCATTCAAGCATTAATACATAATAGAAAAATATCATTTTCGACACATAGATGAAAAGATGGATGTAAATCTCATAAATAACACGAGAACATTAATAACAACCTAAGAACATTAATAACAACTTAAGATTCAACAGGCTCATTTTGAGTGTGTAACATGCTTAAAGTTTACAGATACCTCTTACTTGACATGGCTAAAATACTCATACCTTAATTTAGTCACAAAAGAAAATTAGCAGTGTGAGCATACCCCTAAAACTATCAACTTGAGTGTCTTGTGGAAACCAAAAATCTTTCCTTTACTATCAAATGTAGCCTACCACTTATCTAGCTTAAGCATTATGTCTATGTTTACTTGCTCCATGCAAATTAAATAAGTGATTTTATATATTAGCTAAAAAATGCAGTATTAATGACAATAGATAAACAATAATGTAATTTAGTTTCTATGAAAAACAACGATCCCTTATATCTTGATCAAAAGATGCAGTGAATTCTCCCTTAAATGACCAATGCTTGTATATAAAATTAAGAGGAAGATACAATATGCAATAGCATTAATTTATGAAACAGGGTGCTGGAAAGAAGTTAAAATCAATTTTCAATATCTCAAGTTTTAAAACAACTTATTGTTATAACCCCACATATGAAAGCAATAACATTTTCAAAAGCTAAAAATATGAGATACTAAAATACTATTGAACACTTAAAACTTATAAATAGAGATAATAGAGCTGTTTAATCCCTTTGCATGTCAGATGTAATGCTTTTCTTTTAAAGAGGGCATGTGAAGAGTACCAAATAAAAACCATAAAAATACTTATAAATTCTTAATATTAGAGGCTTTAAATTTTAAAGCCAAACATATGCACTGAACGAGAGTTGCTTTTGCGATATTCATTTGGAAGCATTCATGAAAGTCTCATAATGGTATTGTCATCCACTATTTCCCAACACTATGTTACACATAAAGTAAAAAAGTGCAAATAAAAAATAATTAAATGAACATAAACCTATTTTTGAACTTGACAATTGAGGGTGGATTCAAAGAGAGGAGACCCAATATTTAAGTAAAGGAGTAATATGAAGAATATTTGATTTTGAAAGAATCAAGAAGATGCACACCACTTTCCAGTCGTTCTTAACCTCATCTGACCAAGTCCTTATTCACATTGCTGATTGCTCCTCTGTTGATGCGATCCGTCACCATTACTCAACCAATGCTTTGTCTCTCTAATTCTTCAATCATCTGGTTCTCCAATAGGGTTGTATTTCTCAAAACTTATTACTCACAACTCGCTCATTCCTCATATGGTCATTGTTGCTCTATCAAGTTCGTCCCTCATTACCGACCATTGCACAGCATTCTGAACTCTTATATTTCTCTAAATCGTGCGAAGAAAGGAAGAAGAAAGGGTGGTTTTCTTTTTCAAATTTCTTTATTTAAGATAGGGGCATTTTGGTTAAATAATAACATTGTTAAATGATAAAAGATTTAGCTTGATCCTTTAAGTACATTTGGTTCCTAGGACCAATTTTCATTATAACTAGGTGTTTTTCACCAATTTTTTCTTTTTAATATTAATTTTCTTTACCAAATTACCATATTACCCATAATTTGAAATTACACTGGAACTCAATGACAAGTTGTGTATAAATTTATGATTTTGTTTATGATTGGTGACGATTATAAGTTCAGGAGTCACAACTATTTTTTTCCAAATAACAAATTGGTTTCAAAAATTGGAGCTTAATGACAATTTTAGCATAATAACTAACAACTTTCATTATACGTAATGATAATTACCATCTCATCCGTGATAAATACTTTTAAAAAATTCAACTTATGAATTGTAAGGGTTGGTAGTCATCTAGAATCCAATAACAAGTTTTGTGCAACAATTAACAACTTTTATTATGGCTTAATGGGAAAAACTGCCCAAGAAGTTTTTTGAAATGAACATTGGATATTCTTACCTTTTTAATTGGAGTAATTTTATCTCGAAAGTGTTAATTAAAAGTGAAACAATTTTGTTATTTTTCTAACATTTGACTAACCAAGTATTGAAGACTTTCATGTGGCAGTAAGGGGGGGGGGGGGGAAGCTTTCCCCTAAAGCACATTTGCTTTCTCATGAAGCATCATGAATTTTCCAATCAAGAAAAAGTGAAGCAATCTGAAAAATACATCATTGTGAATTTTTCAATCTCAAAATCGAGTAGGCTATGGATGCCCTCAACTTCGTCATCTCTCATTTTTTTTTGGTGGGATTTTTATCATTAGTTCACCATTGTAATTTTTTCATTAATTGATTGTTCGAATTTTATGTTGGATTGATGCTGGAGCACCGTCATTTCTACGCATCAGACAACGGCATTCCCAAATCTTTTTAAATCAAATAAACATGCAACTACATTCATGCAAAATACAAACAGATTAAAAAAAAAATTCAAGCATCTAAAGGGAGAGCCCAAACGTGACATGGGAAAAAAAAAGTTTACCTTGAAAGCTAATTTGACCATAAATCACACAGAATATCATAAGTAGAAAGAGAGAGTGTAAAGAGAAGAGGTAGCAAGAGGAAGGAGAAGCCTACCTGCGTAAAGTTTTTAGACAAAAGTAAGGTTTAACGATCAACAATTAGTTAGATTAAAGTGAGGCAAAATTTCTCCCTTTCTTTAAATTTTGAAATAAAATTACTCCAATTAAAAAATAAAAATACTTGGTGCTCATTTCAAAAAAAAAACTTTTAAAGCATTTTTATTTTTTTAACCCTTTTATTATTATCAGTGGCGACTATAAGTTTAGCCATGGTATATAATTAATTTTCAGAAATTGAACTTCTTGGTTTAAAGGATATAGAGTCACTTGGAGCTCATTAACAAGATGAGTATAAGGAGTAACAACTTTAATTATAACTAATGATAACTACAAGTTCGGTAATTATAACTATTTTTGGGAACTTAGCAGTGACAACGGTGGACAGTATGATATTTTAACGAGAAAAATTAAAGTTGATTAAAATTTTAATTTTCTAAATATTTTCTTATATTTTTAATTGTGCGCTAAGTGTAACAAATATATATGATTTGATGTATTTAGAGTATTCTCATTAATTACTTAATAAGATAAGGATATAATTTTTAAAAAATATGTAACATATGTTTAATGCCTTATATTTTTAATCAAACAAACTTTTAAAAAATATTTTATATTATAGCTCAGTTAAAGTATCGCCAATGGATTTAAGAACTTCAGTGCACTTAGCTCTTTTGGTGAGATCTATATATCAATAGTGTACATGAGTGGTCTTCATATGTCATTTGTCCAAATGTTAATAAAAAATGCCCATTTACCCAAAAATAAAATAAAATAATGAACGGGTTGATCTTTAATGAATCCTCACGGCGATGGTACGGATTTCACTTCGTCCAATGGCACTCGCTTTTCACTTACCTGCACAATCCTTAATAAGGTAAATCAACAAATTTGACTCTGACACTTGACATCACGTTGCGAAAAACTCTTGAATTAACTTCATAAATTTATTATTTTTATATTTTTAATTTATAAAATTATATTAATTAATTTATAAATTTAGCTTAGATGAAAATTAATTAAACTTAAGGGTTAACTCTTCAAGTTTATAACTTTTATATTTTTAGTTTATGAAATTGTATTAATTTACTCATAAATTAAGACATGATGCAATCTATTAAACTAGCTAAACTTATTAATTTTTAATTTTTAATTGAGTTGAGCAAATTAGGTATATACCATATAGAACTTACTTTATAGAAGCGATAGGGCACAGTTTAAAGAAAAATAAAACTCAAAAAGTAAAAAGTAATATTAATAAAAAATAATAAAAATAAGTTGTCCCATTTTAAAATTTTTATGTTGAGTGTGATAATTTATCAATATAGATAGATTTAATTTTAATAATTTATATTTTAAATATATTTAAATCAAATTATGGTTATATTTTATATTTTAATTATTTAATCATATATTTTTAATGATTATTTATTAATAAAAGTAAACTCTCTTCTACTTATATTTTTATCATAAATTTACTTAAACTCACATATTTGACAACCTTGCTTAACATTATTGGATACGATCCACTCTAGTCTTAAAATTCAAGCTTCTTTTTATTCCTTCCTAGCAAACAACCTAATCAAATTTTATTCCCAACAAGAAAACTTTTTAAATAGATTGAATGCAACACAACATTTATAATATGTTTAATTAAAATTTTTTAAATCACCTAAATAAAATTTTACGTAACATTATTTTAATTAATTTTATTTTTATAATGAAATGCACAAGTCATTTATTACCTTTTCTCTTTCTATTATCATTGATATTATAATTAATTTATATTTAATATAATTTAAATATTATATTTTTATTAAATAAATTATAAATGACATACATTCAATCTATTTCTCTCCCGACAAAAGCATTAAACGGGATTTTCTGCCTTAGAATTAAATTTGAAAATATTACTCTTGCAGCAATTAGCGGAAAGAATTAACTCAGTTATTAAATTAAATTAGTATTTAATTATTTGATAAAAAAAGGAAGGCTAGCGGAGACTAAGATAAATCTCGAATTCAACCACGCGATTGAGTCATCTGTGGGCCTGCACCTTTGTCAGAAAAGTCAATTCCTTTCCTCTTACCGTGTCCCAGAGCACGACGATGGAGTCGCGTGGTTGAAACTGACGATCATATATCTGCTTGCGAGTTGCGAGTTCGTCTTCACCCATTACGTCTGGTGATTAATTAATGAGTACCCAGATGCAAAATTTATGCATTTATCACCTCGTGTTCTCTCTCCCACCTTATTGATGTTTACTTCTGCCCTCTTCAATGTCCCCAGCAACATTTTCTTAGGTTTCCTGTGGGCGTGCATCTCTTCCCCTATATAGAGGGTTTGGACGCTTTTCTAATATTGTTGTAGTTCCAGAGATTGTTAGCTGATTGCGTGCTCACTCCATCTGATAAGTTCTTGCTTTCCAGGTTGCTTCTTCATTTTCTTGTGCACATCTGTTGCTGGTTCCGATGACGCGTCAATGCAGACTGAATAAATTTGAATTTCTGGGTCGTCCTGGTCATTTTTTTAAAACATATATCTGTTTTTTCTCTTAATTAAAATAAGGGACCATTTCCCATTGTGCTATATGTGGCAATTTGTTGTGAATGTGCTGCTAGAAATCGTTGTCACTAAAACATAGAGGGTTTAACCGCTTAAGAGCCATCAATGGTTATGTCGTTTCGTATTTATGAATTGCAATTTAAGAGTTGCTACTGCGAAGCCATCGCCCTCCTCAGTTGAAGCTCCTACGTTGTGTATTCGGTTCGTGCTCTTCATTCACTGTTAGAGAACATAAGATCTAACTATTTTCTGCTGCTTTTTGCCTTGCTCTCTGCTGGAATCCCAGAAACTTACATTCCTTGTTTTTCAAAAATGTCAGAGAAGAACATGGTTCCATCAAGATTAATATTTTGTTTGATTGTGGTTTCTATGTTCCTTTTGGTCATGTCTTCGATTTTCCTCCTTCAGTTTAGTGATCATTCGTTCATACCTAGATCGGTGTTTGAGCTTATTCTGGTCAATAACACATCATTTTACTTCAATCCCAATATCAAGAAGGAGGAAAATATACTTCCTCCCTTCCCTGCTGGAGACAAAAAAATTCAAGCTCAAAGGCCCGGGGATTTGGACTGTCAAATTTCCAAATCAAGCCAGAAACTGAGTTCCATAGAACTACAGAGAATTATGCCATGTGACCCTGCTGGGGCAATTTTGAGAGTGTTCATGTATGACTTGCCTCCTGAATTTCACTTTGGGATATTGGGTTGGAAGGGAAGTGAAAGCCAAACATGGCCATTGGTGGATGACCCGAAACTAGTCCCATCATATCCAGGTGGACTAAATTTACAGCACAGTCCAGAATACTGGCTCACCCTTGATCTCCTGTCATCAAACTTTGCAGAAGTTGTCCGACCTTGCACTGCAGTTAGAGTGCTTAATTCAAGTGAAGCAGATGTAATTTTTGTTCCGTTTTTCTCATCTCTGAGTTACAACCGGCTCTCTAAGATTCAAGGGGATGAGAAAGTTAGCATGAATGAAATGTTGCAAGAAAAGTTGGTACAATTTCTTTTGAGCCGGGAAGAATGGAAGCGTTCAGGAGGAAAAGATCATCTCATTGTAGCTCACCATCCTAATAGCATGCTTGATGCAAGAACAAAGCTGGGCTCGGCCATTCTTGTTCTCGCAGATTTTGGAAGGTATCCTGTTGAAATAGCGAATATAAAGAAAGATATTATAGCACCCTATAAACATGTAGTAGGTACCATACCAAGTGCTGAATCATTTTCATATAAGGAGCGTCCCACTCTCTTGTATTTCCAAGGGGCAATATACAGGAAAGATGTGAGTATTTTCCATATTCTTTTTATCAGTTTAATGCATTATGACTTCATCACAAAAAATCTCTAACATTGACTTTTGTTATTATCTCTTGTCCTGTTTTGGCCAGTAATTGTATCTGGAGTGCAAAAAAGATTTTTAAAAAAGCTTTTGCTCTTTGCATAATTTGGCAGGGAGTGGTCTTTGACATGACATTAAAGCCTCTGTGGCTAAGTAATTGGAGTTTGATCCTTGTCACCTTCATTTCTTGTTTTTTCAACATTATCGCTGTTGAATTATTAATAATTTTATTAATTGTGTTAGTGATGCCGTTTTACCAAATTACTATGCATATCAATTCTATGGTTTACTAATTTTAAATCTGCGTGATAAGAATATATTCAAATTGATTTAATTTTGAAGTGGAAACTCTTCAGGGAGGAATTATTCGCCAAGAACTGTATTATCTTCTCAAAGATGAGAAAGATGTTCATTTTGCATTTGGAACCGTAAGAAGAAATGGTGTACGTGAGGCAAGTCATGGAATGACCTTATCTAAATTCTGCTTGAACATTGCTGGAGATACCCCATCCTCCAATCGTCTCTTCGATGCTATAGCGAGCCACTGTGTTCCTGTGATTATTAGTGACAAAATTGAGCTACCATTCGAAGATATCCTGGATTACTCAGATTTCTGCTTATTTGTCCGTGCCAAGGATGCTGTGAGGAGAGGCTATCTGCTGAATCTGCTTAGATCAATCACACAGGAGAGGTGGACTGAGATGTGGGAAAGATTGAAGGAGATTACGTTGCACTTTGAGTATCAATATCCATCCCAAAATGGGGATGCTGTGAATATGATTTGGCGGGAAGTTGCACACAAGGTTTCTTCCACAAGGTTTGATTTGCACAGGAAGAACAGATACAAGAAATCTCAGCTTCTTGTCAAGACTGACTGAAATACTGAGGTGTTCAAAGGTTGATGCATTTTTTATTTTGGTTTGTCATATTTTCAACCAACATTCCTCCATTTTAACTGTTCTTAGTTGAAGTCCCATTTTTTAGTTGTAACTTTAGTTTTGAGAAAGCAAATAAAAAAATTGGATCATTTTTTTTCCCCTCACAAGGGCGTGGAAGGTGAAAACTTGTGAAACAGGATTATCAGCCATTGTCTTGCAGGCTTTTCATTATTAGTATCGATCATCTTGTATACAAAAAGTCTTAATTTTTAAACCCGTGGAAAAACCTAGTTTGTGATTTTGTTGATAAGCACTGTGTTAGATTGAGATGTTAGCAACTGCCTCATGAAAGAGGTCGACAGAGGCAAGATCATATAAACACACACACACACACAGAGCCTTGTCATTAGAAAAGAAAAGTGCACTATATTTTGTATTTGAGAGCTAACATGATCATTAACTATCCAGCTATTTGTACCTATAATTGGTCTAACACTATCATTATGCTAGCGCAAAGATGGATTTCAGCTAGCTGATAGATTCATGGTAAAAACATTGTAAGAAAAAGAAAACCGTAGAAACCCAACCAACCTCCGTCAGAATCCTTTAAGCAAAGAATGATGTAACTCGCCCGTCATTTCTCTGCATTGTAAAAGACAGCAACAACAGCTTGTCACCATCTGTTATGAATAGGGTCTGACCCTTTCCGAACTGTTCTTTTGTCTGATTGATCAGGATCGAAGGTCATTGAAGGTGCAGGTGCCAATTCCATCTTTGTTTGCAAATGCTCTGTTGCAACACCCTTTAGGCTACGAAAACTTCCAGGAAGCGGTGACTCCTCCTTGTTCCATTTCAATGCAAGATTCTTGCTTGTCAGGCTACAAACTCTGTATGGTTCAGAAGCTAAAATCCCAATACAAAATAAGAGAACCAACCCTCTGAAAGTGAAGAAACTCATCCTTCTGTGAAATGGAAAATGTTGGAGGAACGGAAGCTTTTTTGTTTAAAGCAATAATGGAGAGGAGCTGGATAGCTTGAGTCAAGTGTTATTGCCAATGCCTGTAAGAATAAGCCTGAAGTTTATCTTCTACGGGATTTGGGAGGATAAAAGCATAAAGCAGGAGAATAAGAAGGAGCAGAAGATGTAGGGAAGTTTTAGATTCGCCTCAATCATAAGCATGCTCTGGAAGCTGATATATAAGGCTGTTTTAGTCGACTATGATAGGTTTGAACAAAAGTGTTGATTGGAACAATATCCTTGGGAAGACAAGTATCTTTTCATTCAGTTTCCCTACATTCCTATCATTTGCCTTGCTCTTTTTTACCAAACAAAGACCGAATCCTCCTTCTCTTGAACACTTTATTAGCTTGCCACGTCACTGAACTTGCTGACATGTCCTTGTACCATATCCTTAAGACAGAACCAATAACTCTCTGCATAATGCTTAATTGAACCAGCAGTGCCTCTGGATTTACTATTGACTATTGGGAAAACAATTTTTTTCCTTTTTAACATGATATAAGAAAACTCAACTAGCGTTTTGCAGTCAGTGTCGCGCCTAATACTAGAAGATTCTGACTGGCTAATTCTTGAGAGGCCTCTTGTCTTTACCTTTCTGAGTCCATACAACTATATGAATAAAGGAGAATCTTGAATGTGTTCCATGAAGTTCTCATGACCCACTAAACTCTGTTGTTAAGAAAAGTTCTATAGATCTTGAATTTTTAAGCCGAAACTGTTTCTTTTTTTTTTTTTTTTTGCTGGTTTTGAGGATTGAAAAAGAATAGCAGGGAATTGATATTTTGCTTTATTTAGGTAAGAGGATGAGGCCAAGTATGCGGGTGGTATGGGTAAAAGAAGCAAAAGGGTGTCTATGGGAAGAGAAGAGAGGGAAGGAAGGCATTAAAAGTAGAGAAATAGGGAGAAGGTGGGGAATAAGAAGAACAAAACGAAGCAAGGAGTGGCTTTTGCGTTGCCAGCAGCAGCAGCCAGCACTTTCTTTATGGGTAAACCATCTTTAGAATTCCAAGCTCTACTCTCCATGCAACTAAAATACACTTGTCCTGGTTTCTTGTGCTTAATGGACCTCCTTTATGCTTTTATTTCCTCTCTTTGGATTGCTTAGCCCCAAACCTTCCCCGTTCAAAGTTTGAAACATAATGTTTCTTTTGCTTCCAATTTGGTCTCTAAACTTCGGATTTGAATCCTCTGCAGTGCCTGTATCATACAGTGCTCAAGTGAAGTTTTAAAACTAACACTTTTATTATATGTTTATATTTTTTCTAGTTATGTAATAAAATTATTATTTTCCTGATTAGCTGTGAGCACTGCACAAGTATTACATGGGTGAAGATTGATGATCACTAGTTCACTATTCCCTCCTATCCTAATTATAAGGGAAAGATATTAACTACCATTCTTTAAGAATAATGAAGTAAGTTAATTTTATCTCATAATTAAGACTAGAGAGTGGTAACCTAATACCTACCCCTTCTTTTTTTTGGTTTGTTTTTACAGTCATGGATAGTTCCCATAAACTAGTAAACAGATGTGTGTGTGTGTGTGTGTGTGTGTGTGTGAGAGAGAGAGAGAGAGAGAGAGAGAGAGAGAGAGAGAGATCAAGGGGTAAATCTCATTCTAAGAACAGAAGCATGGACTGGAATAGTCCTTGTGACCTACCACTTTAAGAGCTGTATTAAAGTAAAAGAAATATCTGACTGTTTTCTTTTAAGTTAAAAAAAGTTGAAAATAAAAATGAATGCTGTGTTGCTTTCCCGAAGAACCAACACTGCCAAATCAGTACGATTGAAGAAACTATTGTGTAATGGTCAGGAACGCAGCAATGTTCCAATGATAGCACTGACTATAATGCTGACCAAGAAAAATAGAGACATCTCATTTAGTGTCCATATCATAATGCTAATTAATAATTAAAACAAAAGAAGGCAAAGAAAGTGATGCAGCATGACTTTTATATTTTGTTTAAAAAATAATAAAAATTAATGATGATAAAAACATAATCACAAAAGGATCACTTCTTCACCTTCAAGATAATCATATCTTTTTTATTTTTTTACCAGCTTCAAGATAATTATAACAATCATGTTGTCACAGAGCGTGGTGAAAAATGTCTAATATATGGACTAGCTGCTATGGAACAATTAAAATATTCTCACGAAGCTCCGGCTTGCCATTGTTAAAAAAAAGAAAAAGTTGCCATGGAACATCTTAAATGTGCTAAGCTTATTACAAAAAAAACAAAAAAAAACAAAAACAAAAACAAAAAATCTAAGCTTGTTGTGGACTGAAAAAAAGTCCCAAACCTTACCATTCAAGCCCTTGGGTCCAACGACCAGCTGGCGGGTATCTCTTCAATGGGCCGAATTGTTAATTTATTTTGCTTTTTGACCTATAGTCAAGGATGTTCATAAGACAGGATGAAATCCAGATATCTTTCTCTCATGTCTTATTTTAAAAAATAATTAGGATTAAATTTCAGTCTCATTTTTCATCCTGTCCTGTCTTATTTTGAAAATCATCTCCTCTTATTAGGAATTATGACTAGATCAGAACATTTTGCTAAAGTGAAAAATGTTGGAGAAAGTCCTAAATAACAACATTCATTAAAATATTAAATTATATAGCTCGTTAAGTTTAAAATTAAAATAATACAAGTATACATATCACAATAATTTAAAGTAAATTATTAAATTACATTAAACATGACATCAAGCTTAGAACTTAAAGTTAAATATACATGAGATATAACACATTATGAATTTATGACAGCAATTACAAATGATCTCTAAGCTACAAAAACAACAGTGGACTAGTTAGGTCCAACATCAAGTCATTATTATTCTTCTTTAGTTGAGATATTTAATGTTATTAACTCTTCCAAAAATAAAGTAAAAAATTTGATATAAATAAAAATTATTAAATATATATATAAGAATAAATTATGTCAATATAATTAATATATTATATGAAAAAAGAGAGATTACCTTACACTACTTGCTCTGTGTTATTAAAATTATCAATACTAAGGACTTTTAGTTTCAAATATGAATTGCAAATATTGAAAATATAATTAATGTAATTTACTAGTTATATAATTAATATAAAAATAAACTATGTTAATATAGTTAATATATTTAATGTATAATTTTAAAAGAAAAATAATATATACATCTATAATATTTAGGACGAGATGGAACATCTTGAGGGCAATTATGTGTCTTGTCTTATCCTATTCCATCTTGAATCTCTTTCTCGTCTCATCCCATAAAGTCATGTCCCACTTTTTTAAAGCAAGGATAGACCTTTTTCAATATAATCGAAACAAAACTGGGTTGATCGGGACAAGTTCAAAGTTGAACATCCCTACCTAAAGCAAAGGTTATCTCCCTCAAGTTAATAAAGGAAAATGGTAGATTTTTCTCAATTAAATTACTAAACATATGGGTTGAAATTTAAACATCCAACTACTTGCTTTTAAATGATAAAAATATTTATAACACATGTCAACTTTAATTGATATTTGTCCATCATTTTATTTGCTCTTTGAAATCAATACGTATATGTTAAAAACCAAAGTGTTATAGCTTGTGCAGCACATGAGTTAGGTAGGGTTGAGTTAGGCCCCTATTTGATGCCCAACTCAAAGTATGAACAGGCTATACTTTGCAATTAACTACTTAGCCCTACTCGTGAAATGTCTAAGCATTTTGAGTTGGGCAAAATAGGCTATGCAATATTGAGCAACCCTACTCATCACATGCACAAAAAACTTCACCAAATCAAACTTAATAAACACATAGTAAAAAGATGAGCATTTGGGGAAAAACACACACACACACACACAAATGCCACAAATTAAAAAAGAAAGAAGAAAGAAACCTACTTGTAAAATGGAAGATATAAATAAACATAATGAGGTATTAAATGTAACCGAAACACTAATATGAGCTTTAGAAAAAGTTATCTATATGTGTAATTTTTGTAACAAAACCATAATTTCAACGGGGGGCAAATCTTGCTTCATTAACTAAACACACAATTTAAGATTAACATTTGATATTATATAAAAAAAAAGATTAACATTTGATATATACAAAAAAAAGATTAACATTTGATATATACAAAATAAAGATATTATAAATATATTGTTTGAGTTGGATAGCATATCTTGCTTGTTGCTCAGCTTGACCCGACCCGAATACTAGATCGGTTCAAGCATGTCTAAATCTTTGTGTTGCTTGAACATAATAAAGTATTGAACGTAATTGAAAGATTAATATAAATTTTGAAAAGTATGAGTTATGTATGTAATTGTTTTCAATAAAACCATAATTTTAATGGGAGGAGTTAAGGATTATTTGAATTTATGATAAGTTCTCTCCCATGTCATTGACACATGGTTTAACATTAACCTTTGATATATAAAAAAACAAAGATATTATAAATATATATATATATATTGTTCAAGCACGACAGCATGCCTTGCTTGTTGCCTGGCCAAAATACTGATATGATCTAAAGAAGCCCAAATCCTTTTGGATTACCTTTTTTTGGGCTGAGCTTGGTAAAATCTTATCAGGCTACACTGAGCGTCTCGCGCAACTGAGTTACATGAACAGTCATACATTTTATACTGTTAAACTACTTGTTAAGCTATTGATTTCCCTTTGCTTGTCTTTACAAAATATGCGTCCGCATTTGCTGCTCATCGTTTGTGATGACTCAGGCCAGGAGAAATCCTAGCCTTCTATTTCAGCCTTATTTAATCCCTGCCGTTCATTTAAATTAATTTTTAAATATTTTTAACATTACATTTATTAAAATAAAAAATATAAAAAATTTTAATATTAAATTTGAACTATTTAAAATATATTTAAATGGTTAATTTGTAAAATTTATAAATTTTTTAATATTAAATTAGGTTATCTGTATTATACCTAAACTGTACAGAGTCTATCTGTATAATCAAATTGTAAAAGTATAATTTTTTTAATATTAAATTAGATTATTAGATTAAATCTGTATTGATTAAATTGGTAATAATTAAAATTTTAATTTTTTTTATATTTTTTATATTAATAAATGAAATATTCAAAATATTTAAAATTAATTTAAATGAACGGTAGGGATTAAACAAGACTAAAATAGAAGGCCAAAACTTTTCTTGATCTGATGGGCACCGAATGCGGACGCACAAAATATAGAGCACACACACACATATATATATATCCGTACCGTACAGTGATTCTAGATCTTGAATAAAGCAAGTTATCTTGAAAGTTAAATACCGCACCTGCTCACATTTTGAACTCGTTATTATTAGCACTGTTGTTCATCGTCTTGGACATGCCTATGTTTTTTTAAAATATTTTTACTGATGATATTTGAATTGAGAGACATTTTTTTGATATCTAGCAATAAGTGTTTAAGCTTAAACTTTGTTGCTGAAAAATTATCCAGAACAATCAACTCCATTTCAAGTTAGACAGTACTTAAATATAAATAAGTCAATACTACATGATAAAATATGATTGCAAAAACTAATATAGTACATATTTTATCCTTTTTAAATAAAATGAAATAATATTTTTAAGCTAAAAAATAAAATAAAAAATTAAATTTATAAATCTATAATGCTAGCATGTGATTCTTGTATTTCACACGAAATTTAAAATTTTCCACTATTTTATTGTTTTTTATAAGACCTATTTATTTTTACTGTTTTCATCTATCGATTTTTTGTATTTGTATTTCATTTAAAATTTAAATCCGTTTTCGTCGTCCGACCCGGAAGTGCGCAAAAAACCGAACCTAAAACCAAAATCCCTTAACTGCCCCGCGTTCTCCTCACATCTCGTCCCCACGTCGTTGTGTTCTATTTTCTCAGGGCTCTGACGAACTTATTCTAGGGTTTTACTGTAAACCCTCTTAAGTCATGGCCGAAGCAACTGCAAAGGAAGCTGAGGAGGTCAACACTGCTGCCACCGTAGACATGGAAGTTGAGAACACTGAATCGCCTCAAAACGCGGGGGACAAAGGCGGCTCTGAATCCGATGGCACAGATCCCGTGACAAACGGCGAGTCCAACCTCAAGCGGGACAGGGAAGAGGATGAGTCCCAGGAAGACGACGATGGAGTTTCCAAGAAGCCAAAAATGGAAAAATCAGTCGAAGAAGAAAGGTTGGAGAAGTTGGAAGGTGTCGAGGAGGAGGAGAAATCGGGTCCTGTGAACCTGGGTTACAAGACTTTTGGGTCTTCCGTTGAAATATTTGACTACTTCTACAAGTTTCTTCATCACTGGCCTCCTCATCTGAATGTTAACAAGGTATTAGCAGTTGGCACATGTGTTGTTTCTTCCCCCTGTTTTGGTGATACGAAAGCGCAATATATAGTTATATGCAAAGATGAAAAATTTTTGTATGTTGTCTTTGTTGGCACAACATGCACAGTTAATTTACTAGCGTAAGCATTTGATTAATCGAAGTTATAAGATAGTGACCGGAAAAATTATCCGGATTATGTCGTGCTGCAGTAACTGTGCAAGTTTTGTTCTTTGATGGTAGACTACATGATAATGGGTGCCATTAAATTTGTCAAGTACCTATAGGAAGATGATTTAAAAAAAAAAAAAATCCAAGCTCTTTGAATTGAATATAACGAAGGCGCTTCACCTGCGTTGTTTGGAGAGTTTGGAAGAATCTGTAATGGAGATGTTCTTCCACTGCTCCCCTGTAAATTTGAAGTTCTTTCTTATTATCTTTCACTCCTTTATGATGTCTTTTTAGTTTTCAGGCACTAGTACGAGACGGTTTTTCTTATTTCTATAATTGGGACACTGAAGAACCAGAGTATTTTTCTTGACACTGATTACAACTTGCTCTAGGCATTAAATTAAAATAGTTCTTTAGATAAATAAAAAGGACAATTTTAGTATTGCCAGATGCCAGCCAAAAAAATTAGAGAGCTTCTCGCGGATTAGTGGTTGGAGGAATCCATGGTATTTAGCTTATTGTGTGGCAATTGGGAGAGCTCATAAAAGTGGGAGGAAATGTGGAGGCCGTGACTCGTTATACAAAATTTGTTCTGTTGTTACTTCAAGCTTTTGTTTCCTTTCCTTTCCTTTCCTTTTTTTAAGAGACGTGATATGTTAAATATCTCGATTTTGATCACACTTGCATTTTTATGATACTGATGTATTTATCTGAAATTGTGTACTGAATTTATTATATTGATGACGGTTCTTACATTTTCCGCTAAATGTTGGTTTGAAGAATTCTTGCGCTTCCAGTATCTGAAAACTCTGGCTCTATCCTTATAATCATCTATAACCTCAAAGCCAACCTCCAGCTTCCATTCAATTTGGTGGCATTTTGTGCAATGTTAAACATCCACTGTATTGGGGTTATCCTTTATAGTAGGTGTGGGCATCTGCGAATGCTTTTCTTCTTGTTGCAGAATTCTCAAGTGTTTGCCATCTTTGGTGCATCTATCACAGAGCAGCTTGATTTAGAATTCAAGTTCTTCTCTCTGTGGGAAACGTTTTCTGAGCAACATTTTAAATGGTTGTTTTTAATTTGATGCATGTATTTGCTGAATGCTTTTCAATGTACTGCTGAGTGGCAATTCAGTTTCATTTCATATGTGCATGTCAGGATTGAACTATGGTGCCGTAGCCACTTCCTGAATTCGCTGAGCTTAGCTTACTAATTCTGTGCTTTTTGTGTTGTGGGCAGTATGAACATACAATGCTGCTGGAATTGCTTAAGAAGGGCCATTCAGAACCAGATAAGAAGATTGGTGCAGGGGTCCGCACTTTCCAAGTCCGTAACCATCCTACATGGAAAAGCAGGTGCTTCTTCCTCATCAGGGAGGATGACTCCGTTGATGATTTCAGCTTCCGGAAGTGCGTAGATCATATACTTCCGTTGCCGGAAGAGATGCAACTGAAGTCTCATGTGAACAAGATGTTAGGTGGTGGAGGAGGAAAGGGACGCAGAGGAAGAGGTGGTGGGAAAGGAGGCGGCCGGGGACATGGCAAGGGAGGGAAGTTTAGGCGCTGAGTTGAATAGATGGTAGTCGGAATTGGTTTCCAAGAGTTGAAATGTTTGCTATATTTCCAGCTTGTTTCGTTTTTCCTTCTGATCTCTTTGTTGACTTTCGTAGTTACGCAACTTAAATCCCTGCCCTTTGCAATTTGACTCGTTGCTCCAACTCCAAAGTTCACTCGAGAGCTTCGAATCGGGGGTTTTTATCTCGACAGAACTCAAAACAGAAATAATTGTACAAGTGTATGTGAGGGGGGTTAAACAAAAGGAAGAATTACATTTAAGGACTGTTCAAAAAAAAATTCTTCACAAATAAGGATTAATGATTTTCATTTAAAAAAAAGTCACGTTTATATTTTAATAATAATTTGTTAATTTTATTAATTATTAATTGCAAATAAATTTTTTTAGTGCTTTTAGATGGATTCTCTCACTGAAAAAAGGATGATAAAATACACACGTGATGGAATAATATTCGATTTATGAAACGCCTTCGCCTAAACGTTGAACGTGGGCCACAAGACTTGGCCCAAATGAACAAAAGAAAGAAATTAGAAAGGAGAAATAAGGGACAATAAATTGCCATGAAAATCAGCTTAAGCATGTCAACCATAGTTTGGTCCATCGCATTTTAGGCCCCAGATATGAGTCTCAACAAAAAACAATTCATTCTTTTGTTTTTGGGCTGGGGTGCCGAGAGGGACGTTGATTGGGACTTTGAGACTCTTCACTTCAGATTTTTTTTAAGCTCTATTTGGCAGAAGGTACTGAATTTTAAGGAATTGAGATTGAGGTTGAGAAGAAATTTTAAAATTATGTTTAGTATGTGATAGGATTAAAAAAATGACTCAGATCGAACTAAAAAAGAGAGTTAAAGATTCAACTGCCCTCATTTTCTTCCTTCTACTCTTCCATTCTTCCTTGCTGTCATTGTGAGCTGCATCTCACTTGATTCTTCTCCCTCCTCCTGCATCAATTTTCTCCTTTCAAGAACTCTTTTCCCCGCTACTTTACTGATCGAACCTCTCATTCATTTTCCCTCTCCATGGCAAATGGAAACACTGAAGCCCCCCAAGAAAAATGTGACGCCCGTCGCCATCAATGGAAATGCTAAAGCTCCTGAGAAGAAAAGCATCATGACCCTTGCTGAAAATGGAGACACTAAAAGCTCAAAGAAGAACAGAATCCAGGTTTCCAAAGATCTGGAATAAGAAATGCAAACGAGATCCATGGTGAACAACCCTATTATTTTAATGCCTCAGGAATAACCCATGGTTTTAATGCCTCGCTTTCGATTTCAATTTTGCAATCAACATTTGAATTGATCTCACCCATCACCAGATCCAGAACAAGAAAAGCATATTTTGATTTCGTCTCGCCGTCTCTATTTTGTTCTTGCTCGCATCAAGGTCCATTGTTGCGGGTCTTCGTCTCACCCATCACGTATTTGCTATTGCTTCCGTCGAAGTCGTTACTGGCAAGGGAGGAAGTTGTCGCCAGAGTCATCCATGGTATGGTGAACATGCCGAGCAAATAAGGTGAATGAGAAGGTCAGCTCATATGTGGGCATTTTTTGGAGGACATTTTTGATCATGAAAATTTCAATTTTAAAATTAATTTTACAATACTAAAAAGGCGATAAATTTTGAGTATTTTCACATAAATAGAACTAAACAATCCAAGTATTAATGAATATTTTATACCAAACATGTCAAAGGCATTATTATTTTAACCCAATCCCAGACTTTACCTTCCAGTGATGGTTGCCAAACGGGGCCTCAGAGTCAATTGCTTGGATCATTCCTATTTACACAACTACGTTGCCTTGAGATAAAATTCATTTCCATCTTATAATTTTCTATTTGGCAAATGAGACAAATGTAAAAGAGTAGTCTTATTGTGCTAGTCTTGTGTTAAATTTCTAGCCCAACAATGACAGAAAGGAAACAAAAGTGGTAGCATCTGTGTGCTAAAAAGCCAAAAAAAAAAAAAAAACTGTTTAAAAGTGTATTTTCTGTTATTTGTTTTGAAAAAAAATTAAAAATTATTCTGAAGAACTAAAAATAAAATAATATCTTTTAAATATTTTGTCACTATTTATTATGCAAAACTGGATAAAAGACATAAAATATCATTCTTTTATTAATGACAATTACACTAATAAAATAAATTATTATTTCACTGTTTATTTTACCAATTTATATTTTTTTAAAATAATAATTGAAACAGATATTTTTTTAATTTTTTGTTTCTAAAACTTACTCTAAAAAATTATTTTAAGAACATGAAAACAGAAAACAGAAGCCATCAGGCCCTATATATCCGTCACAATTCACAAAGCATGTGAGATTGAAGGAAGTTAGCTCTGAACCTTCGTGAATTGGGCCATTATTGATGGGCTAACGTCATCCCAAAAGCCTATGAAACATGAGGTCTGGAATTCTCTGGAGCCCACTGTGGCACTGCCCAAGCGTCAAGATGCTTAAAAAACGTTTTATCACAAAAAAAATAAAATGAAATGGAGATGCGTGAAAACGCTGTTGTGTAGAGCAGAACGCGCTTGGAAATTGGAATCGTCCTAAAGGCTAAAACGCCATGAACAAATTTGGCGCCCAATTTCGTCGCCGGCAATGTTACCCAGCCTCCTTCTCTCTCACCGTTTAGTTCCTGCCGTCTCCCACTCCCAACGCCATTTCCTTCACATCTCTCGGCCCCATCAGCTGAACCCACCAAATCCTCCAATCGAAACACCGCCTTATCCTCACCAGAATAAGAATCATCCAAAACCCATCTCAGTCCCTGCCGGTAACTTCCAGAAACACCTCGTGATTTCTGCATTAAAATCTGTCACCCATGAGACCCACTTTCTCCAAATACACGCTCTCATTGTCCGTGCATCCCTCCTTCAAGACCCTGCAATTTCCCTCCCCTTCTTGTCCTGTGTTTCCCTCCGGGGTTTCTTTCCGGATCCCTCGTATTCCCGCCGTTTTTTTGACCGAATTATCAACCCTTCGGTTTCTCACTACAACATCATGATCAGAGCATACTCTATGAGCTGTTCTCCTGAACAAGGCCTCTATTTATATCGAGATATGAAAAGACGTGGCATTCTTCCAGACCCATTGTCCTCTTCTTTTGCTGTCAAGGCTTGCATTAAGATTCTTCATCTTCCTTGGGGGGTTCAGGTTCATGGAAGTATCTTGAAACATGGGCAACGATCAGAGAACCTTTTGCTGACAACTCTCATGGACCTGTATTCTCGCTGTGAGAGACTGGGTGAAGCATGGAAACTGTTTGATGAGATGTCGCAGAGAGATACTGTGGCTTGGAACGTCATGATTTCTTGCTGCATTCGTAATAATCGGGGCCGGGATGCTTTGAGCTTGTTCGATGTTATGCAGGGTGAAAGCCATAGGTGCGAACCCGATGATGTTACGTGCTTACTCCTGCTTCGAGCTTGCGCCCATTTGAATGCTTTGGAATTTGGGGAGCGAATTCACGATTACATTACAGAATATGGCTACGGTGGGTCTCTGCGCTTGTCTAATTCTCTCATATCCATGTATTCTCGATGTGGTTGTTTGGATAAGGCTTATCAGTTATTCAAGACAACAGAAAATAAAAATGTGGTTTCATGGAGTGCGATGATCTCTGGTTTGGCAATGAATGGGTACGGGAAACAAGCTATGGAAGCATTTGAAGAGATGCAGAGAATGGGGATTCGTCCAGATGATCAAACATTCACGGGAGTTCTCTCTGCTTGCAGCCATTCTGGGTTAATCGATGAGGGAATGTCACTTCTTGAGCGTATGAGCATAGAATTCAGAATAACTCCCAACATCCATCATTATGGGTGCATGGTTGATCTCTTGGGGCGTGCCGGTTTACTTGATCAAGCCTATCAGCTTATCATGTCCATGCAGGTAAAACCAGATTCAAAAATATGGAGGACCTTGCTTGGGGCTTGTAGAATTCATGGACATGTTGGTCTAGGCGAGCGGGTAATTGAGCATTTGATTGAACTGAAAGCTCAAGAAGCAGGGGATTATGTTTTGCTACTAAATATCTATTCTTCGGCTGGTCACTGGGAGAAGGTAGCAGAAGTGAGAAAACTAATGAAAGAGAAAGCAATCCAAACCACTCCTGGTTGTAGCACAATCGAAGTGAAAGGACAAGTACACGAGTTCATTGTGGATGATGTTTCACATCCAAGAAAGGCTGAAATTCATAAGATGCTGGGTGAAATCAATCAGCAACTAAAGATTGCAGGGTATGCTGCTGATCTGTCATCTGAGTTACATAAGTTGGATGACAGCGAGAAGGGGTATGTGCTATCTTGCCACAGTGAGAAGTTAGCTGTAGCCTTTGGGGTTCTGGTAACTCCACCAGGCACAAAACTGAGAGTGGCCAACAATCTACGTATATGTGCTGATTGTCACGAGTTTATGAAATATTTTTCTGGAGTTTACAACCGTGATGTGATTGTAAGAGATCGCAGTAGGTTCCATCATTTCGGAGGAGGACACTGCTCCTGTAATGACTATTGGTAAGGACATGCTGAGATATGTGAAACCAATGGTCGACCAATGGAAACTTGGTGGCGGGATAAGATTTATTCCTCATGTTTTCATTCCTTGTGGAAATGCCGACAAGTTGATTCTGGGCAAGCAGCTTATGTCTTTGGTGATGCTCTGAGGATGCATTCCACCGCACGGATACCAACTAGACCAAGTAAATTGTGAAAGGCTCACGATTATCTGAAATATGAGACTTGGTGGCGGCTTTAATTTTTGATAAAGGTTATGTCAAAGATATTTACTTGTTGAAAAATTTTTAAGTGGAGAGATCTATATTTAAAATTAAGTATTTTATAAGCAAAATAAGTATTTTAATACTTTTTCTTATATAAGAAAAAAGATAAAATTATGCACGATATTATTGAAGATTCACGCTTATTTTTAATGATAGAGATCCTCTATGAACCTGAAAAAATCTTCCCGTTGTAGAGTGGAAGTTTGATCACTTCCCGGTGGCCGTAGAAAATTAATTTCATTACTTCATGTTATTTTTTAAATAGAGAAATGCATAACTATATTTAAGAGAGAATTATGCTTGAGTTAAGGATTTACTTTTCAAACCACAATATAAGTCATTTTTTAAAAATTTTGTTTGATTTAAAATATAGATCATTATATAAGTGTTATATACATACATATATATATATATATTCAATTACATCCTTATTGAATAATTAATGAAAGTGTTTTGAATAAGTCAAATATTATATATTAATTACATTCAAAGGTATGATTGTAAAGATGCAAAAAATTTTTAAAAATCAAGATTTTAACTAATTATTTTGATAAATATAAATTAGTTAACAATGACTTATATTTTGATTTGGAAAGAAACTCTTATAAAAAGCTTGGCTGAAATATTTTAAAAATCATGATTAAATTTTAGTAAAACAAGAAAAGTCTCATTTTGCATCTCTACAATCATATGTAAATTTGAATAAAACTTCCATTCAAATAAAATAGTAGCTCGATAACCAAAAAAGTTTGAATTTAGTGAAAAGAATTAGTCCTTCATAATATGATGAATCATTTAAATCCTTGTTGAAAGAAATATCACATTTAGCCCCCCAACCAATAATTTAAAAATAAAATCAAACTGAATGATTAGACTGCCAACCAAAGCTATTAACGTCTTGGTTTGGATCAAAAAATTATTTTCATGATTAAGTAGGATTGGACCGAAGTTAAGCCACTATTAAACTGAAAATCAGAGTTGAATAAGAAATTAAAGTAGTTTTCAGAAAATCAAACAGTTTTAAACATAATATTAAAAAAAAGCTTAAAAATTTAAAAAATAGAAAAAGTAAAAATTAGATCCTACTAAAAGCCAACTTTATTTTTGAACAATTCATATGAATAAAATATGATTTGTGATAATTATATATGCAAATATAAATACTTTTTAGTCTGCTCATATCTAATTTAACCAAGATCTACCTATATTTAATAAGTTATAAAATTATAATTTATAATATTATTAATTTACAATCATGCTATGTCATTTTATTAATATACTGTTATTTTTTTCTTGTATTTATTTCATATATATATATATTTAATATTATTTTTATTTAATTATTATGTTATCAGTTAGACCATTGGTTCAATTCAATTGGACCATGTAAATCGTGAATTTTTAGCCTTTCCAATTCAATATTAGAGCCACTTTTGAAAACATTGCACCGTGTCTTGAATATGATTATTTCTAACAAAAAGATACCTATAAATAAATAACTCAATAAAAAGGACCCCCCACTAAAAAGAATGGTAAAAGAATATAAACGTACAGTGAGTAAGGATTTTGTATTTATATATATTGTATTGTTTATTAGTTTAGGTGATTTTGTAATATTTTTAAAAAGAATTAACAATGATTCTTTAAAATTTTCCATTAAATGTGAGATTAATTTTGATCATTAATAAAAAAAGTAATTTTACAAATTTTAACTAAATTATTATACATATGGGAGGGGGGGCCTTGAAATTTCCCTTGATTTATGTGGGATGGCATATTTTGATGGTAGGAAGAACTAGTGGACGACAAGGTGATATAATAATTTATACTCAAGAAGCGGACGAGTTAGGTGACTTACAATAACAATTCCCCCAAATTGGATTCAACGTTTCTGTTGAGAATTAATCGATTCACCACCTCCTAATTTACCCAATTTCAAATTCTTAAGTTAGAGGTAGTAATCAACATTAATTATAATTTCATTTTCTTAATTTAAGTTGAGGGGTCTCAGGTTTTGTGAAATTAGCTTTTCGCAGTTCAAAACCAAGGTGATTCCCTCAACAATTCAAGTCCTGAAATTAACTTCCTTTTGTTGGTCCAAAAAGATTTGAATTGTCCTCGAGGCTTGATCATGTGCATTCAGGTGCGTCAATGATTTGATATCCAATACTTTTGGAATTTTTCTAAAGAAAAAAAGGAAAATTGTTAGAGTAGTTGCGAGTTGGTTTGACTGCGTATGATAAGTTGGGTCATCAAACGATCTACTTCTCATTGCGTCACTTAATCGTACCCTTTATATGACACATTGAAACCATAACTAGACATTGAAACCAGCAACATCAAGAACCTTTGAGAAGAGCCTGGAGAGATAACTAGACAAATATGAAGCTCAGCGTGGGGCTAGTTTTTGTAGTAATGGCCATTTTAGGAAATGAGCTCGAGGTATGTCACTGCAAGATTGTGCAATTCATATTTGGAGATTCCCTCTCCGATGTTGGAAACAACAGATACCTCTCCAGAAGCCTTGCTCAGGCAAGCCTCCCTTGGTATGGCATTGATTTTGGCAATGGTTTGCCTAATGGCAGATTCTCTAATGGCCGCACTGTTGCTGATATTATAGGTAACCACTTTGCACTTTTTAGCAGCATGTTTGCTACAACTAAAGGAAAGTTGAGTAAATAAAATGTTGCACCTTGGCTAACAGTTCTAACCTTTAATCTATTATAATTAGCACATTTTTGAGTATAAGTGCTAACTCGTTTTGGTTTCAACTTAAGTTCATAAAAAGCGAGAAAATTTACTACTATTTTTACTCATTTTCTGTGTATCAATGAATTACAAATTCATGTATACAGCTACTGCAAGCTCTAGTTTAGTAATAAGGTTGTTACCGAATTCAGATGACCATATTGGCATTGATTCTGTGCATTCAGGTGACAATATGGGACTTCCTAGGCCACCGGCATTCTTGGACCCTTCTTTAACAGAAGATGTTATATTGGAAAATGGAGTGAATTATGCCTCTGGAGGTGGTGGCATCTTGAATGAAACTGGCAGCTATTTTGTAAGCCAAAAAGATAACCTTTTCATATTCTGTGTGTGCTAATACCATTTAACACTATCATTAGAGAACACCACATTGAAACATGTTGGACAAAATGATGGAACTTGCAGATTCAGAGATTTTCTCTCTACAAGCAAATTGAGCTGTTTCAGGGTACCCAGGTGCTAATCAGAAACAAAATTGGAAAAAAAGCAGCAGATGAGTTTTTCCAGGGAGCTCGCTATGTGGTTGCTTTAGGGAGCAATGACTTCATCAACAACTACTTGATGCCTGTTTATACTGATTCATGGACATATAATGATAAAACATTTGTGGACTACTTGATGGGAACATTAGGAGACCAACTCAAGGCTAGTTAATTTTACTTTTTAACAACAAAAATTCTCCTTTTCTTTGTTTCTTGAATGGTTTTAGTACTCATGTCTGTTGTCTCTGTTTAGCTTCTGCATAGCTTAGGAGCAAGACAACTGATGGTGTTTGGGTTGGGACCAATGGGCTGCATTCCCCTCCAGAGAGTGCTCAGTATTTCTGGGAATTGCCAAGGAAAAACAAACAATCTGGCTAAGAGCTTCAACAAAGCTACAAGCAAGTTGGTAGATGACTTGGTTGCTCAACTTCCTAACTCAAGCTATAAATTTGGGGATGCCTATGATGTTGTTGACGATGTTATAAGCAATCCAAGCAAATATGGTCGGTGATCAACATGTCATGCATATTTTTCAGTAAGATTTACCCATGGCATTGTGATACTAAATATTATTGTCATTGGAATTACATTTGAATTGTAGGATTTGAGAATTCAGACTCGCCCTGCTGCTCCTTTGGGAGAATACGACCAGCGCTGACGTGTCTACCGGCGTCGAGGCTGTGCAAAGATAGAAGCAAGTATGTCTTCTGGGATGAGTATCACCCCACAGACAGTGCAAATGAGCTAATTGCAAACGAGCTAATCAAGAAATTTGGATTCTTGCGTGTCGATCAAACAAATGCTCCTTCACCTGCACCTGCTCTTGCTCCTTCTCCTGAAGATTAACAAAAATCACTGTTGTTGCTTGTAATGGAAACAAACTTCTCTCTGTTCCTTGACCTGTTTCTTACCCATAATTTTGTTGTTATGTCTGCGTGGTTATAAAAAATGCAATTTAGTTATACAAGAAACTTGCTTGTAAGTTGTATGTTCAATAATGCTCCCTTGCAATAGCTACATTGAAGTATGACTGTACATGTAACTCTCTGTACTGGGGTGATTCGTGCCCTTTTTGAACCACTTTAGATTTTTCGTGCCTATACTACTTTTTCTAAAACCGAAGAAGCATGAAGCACGTGTTTAGGAGGAGAACTTGTATGATTACACAGAAAATATAAAGTTTTAAAAATTATGGCTGTCATGGATTTATTGGATGGAGAAACGTGCAGCGAAGGAGTCTAGCTAGTGAAGCATATAGTATTAGGGGTGAGCAAAAATGAATGGAACCGAATTGAATTAAAATTTATCTATTTAATTTGGTTTATTTGTCTTTTCAATTTGATTCAGTTTTTTTTAAGAAAAATTTTGGTTGATCGGTTTAATTCCGTTTGAAAATTTTTAAATCAAATAAACCAAATTAATCGGATCATACATATTTTTCCTTTCATATTTTAAAAAATGTGAATAAATTGTTTTATAGGTGAGTAAGGAATGTCTTTCTACCACTTGCAATAGGAGTATTTTTTTTTTGTAATGTGATATTCTAATTTTTGTTTTTATAATTTAATTTTTAATATAATAGTACTGAGTTTTATTAATTTTACATGAATTGGATAAAAAAATTACTATTAAATACAATAGTAAGGCATAAGATTACTATTTTTTTGTTGGCCTTCAATATCAAGAAAAAAATTGGATAAAAAAATATATGAATAATTAGACTTCATAAATCTAAATCAAAGCTAATTAACCAAATAAACTGATCAAATCAAACTATTATAATTTGATTCGGTCATGTATTTCAATTCGATTCGATTCAAATTTTTTATATAATTTAATTGATTGGTTTTAGAAAAATTAGAACTGAATCAACCGAATGCTAGTATGCCAATTGCCAACTTTTACTGTTTTACTGTTCTAAATATTACTCTTTACTTATCATGGCATCAGAGAAAACTATAGACACATTAAAGCTGATGAAGAAAGATTCAGACATAGGCGGGACAAGAGGTTCATTTTGTGAGACTAGGCAATAGGCAATTTCTTTGCTTTGATGTTTGATAAGTTTTTTTAATTCTACCAAACGTGTCAAAGACGCCAACTTTTTGTGGCAAGTGCAATTGATCTTTCCATCTGGCACTTCGCATACGCGCTCAGGTGTCATCAATATTATAAGCTCATTGGACTGCAAAGAAATTGTGAATATCCTGATTAGAATCTGATCAGCTATTAACAAGTACTGTAGCCTTACAGGTGTGCTCTTCCTGTATTTGTACTGCATGCCTTACATTTTGTATCTCCGCAGCATCAAAATCTTCAAGCTTCAGTTGTTCTGATAATCTTATAGACAACAATATAACCATATAACATATGGTTAGATGCATTGTCATTGCGACCAGAAGTTTGGTTTAGTAGAAAAGGCTAATTTTTTACAACATGGTGAATCTAGTTTTTTAAATTTAATATGTGATCCTATTTCAAATAAAATTAGCTCCAATAGGATGACATCCATGTACAAATAAAAAAAAGGAGAATGGCAATGAGGACTCGGAAAAAAAAAAAGAAGAAGAAGCAGTGAGGACTTAAAATAACTAAATGTTCATCTATACACAAGTTTAAGTTTGGTAATTTAGTTGTGCATAAATGAACCTTCAATTGTTTTGAGCTGTCACTGACTTTTTTTACTTCTAGGGGCCCTCATTGCCATTTTTCCTTAAAAAAATATATATTTTACCATTGCTTTAAAACTAATCTTTTATGAGCTGACATATTTTTCACCAAACCGATGATGAAGTAAATTAATGGCGAGAAGTTCGTTGGTAATAACTATAGAAGGCCACTCATTTCATGATATGCCACAATGAACAATAATTTAATGACCTGAAAAGCCAGATACTTAGTATAGGCCACAGGGGTCAGCCAAGCACTATACAAATGTCAATTTTCCACAACTTTGGTAGATTACTTTTCTCAATTCTCCACTCAAACATACAAAATATGTAATTATATATTTGTATGTATCTTCAAAGGGTTCCAATTGGGTAAGCAATAATATGAATGATTACGTTAAACAATTTGGATTAGCTTCTAAAACACTTGGTTTGCAGCACACCTATCAAACTGTGGGTGGACAAATGGCATTTCAGATTTATATTTCATATCTTTTCGGCCCAAAGAAGGGCAAACATCAAAAGCTATTTGTCGGCTTATTGCCAAATGCATCCATCACTTACACACACACACACACACATATATATAAACATCAATTATTGCAAATATTATTTTATTTAAGATCTTTTTAAAGTAACACTGGACATGTGTTTGGCACCATAAATGTCCCATATCTAATCAAATTCCATAGCTTTTGTTTGGAACTGTTAAATATCATCCATGATACTGAAATTTAATTCTATTTTGCGTTTTCAATTTTTCTGCTCCTTTTTCAAAATTAAAATTTGGATATTTTGATATTTTAATAGTTAATGTGTAAGGGGTAAAAAACGTCACCAGTAACAGCAGAGTAAAAATAATGTTGAATTGAGTATATTCTAACACGTAACAAGTTCAGTCCGATGGTGGTTTGTCTTTTTTTTAATAGTTATCAATTATTGTATATTTTGTGTAATCTTACAGTGTGCCAAGGTTATTGTTTGAAGTAAGTAGAAAATGTTACTTTAAAAAGTGGCGAAACCTATTTCACTTCAAAAGATTATATATTCCGGATCTTATTATAAAATTTTATTAATTAATTTACATATATATTAAAAAAGTAATTAAAAGTAGTTCAAAGGAATATGCATGTAGATGCAAGAAAAGCATAATTTAAATAATGACATTCTTTGTTAAAAATAAGATTAAAAAATACGTTAAGGTGCATGGTTAAACGATGATGGAAAAAACCATTTAGTTTGATTGGATATCTAAGGCAAAATCCAAATGTTATTTTTTTTTGGGTAAAAAAAATTCAAATGTTATTTATTAACTCTGTTTAATGGGCAAGATCTGCATAACATTAATGAATAGTGGAAAAGCGGTTTCGAACCAATATACGATAAACATAACAGAAATGATCAAAATGTTATGCCGTGGAAAGTATTTAATGAAATTCTACACTAAAATCATTTAAGTAAAGAATGACTTTATGAAAATTAAGTCATTCAAGTCAAAAACAATTTTATAATTAAAAATTATTTTTTTATTTAATAAAACGTGAGAGGGGAACAATTTCAGTTTTTTTAATTGATGTGACGTTCTATTTATTATCAACTATGAAAATATTTACTTTTAAATCTTGCTTTATTTTTCTCGTGTGATTCATTCAAATATAAGATAAATGGCTATTTATTATTATTAATGCTCCTTTGACACTCAATGAGTTTGATAGAACATCCAAGTACATGAGCGACGCTGTGTGTATGTGAGAAGGGGCAAATGCACCCCTTAAATTTGGAAAAAATTACAAGGAGAATTATATGTTTTATTATTTTTCACCTTTTGATCCAAATATTTTGCACCCCTTGAACTAATTTTAAAGATGTTTGGGTTCCAAAATTTTTTTAAATATGTTCAATTGAAGTTCAAAAATGATGTTGTATCCCCTAATCCAGGGTCTTAGCACCGCCACTATCCGAGTACATGTAATAGTATTAGAGATATATTTGACAAATGGATTCATTGTATTAGTAATGATATTGGATATGCGGCAAGTTTTTTACTTTCTTTCACTAATACTATCTTTTTTCTTTATAAAAAAGTATTGTAATCTAATATCTTATTTTTTATTTTAGGCTGACATAGTAGAGGAGGGATGTATCCACGTTGGGAAAAGAGGGGCAATTGCCCCCATGAAATTTGCAACATTACACTTACTTTTTTGTTTAAATTACACTTGGCCCCACTTTAAAATTGCAATTACTCTCATAAAAAATTCATTGCCCCACATTTTCTTTAAAACTACCATGCATACATTTTTAAAAATATTGTTTATCCTTTTATTTATAATAAAAATAAATTTATGATGTAAGATATATTTTTAAACTTTTCATATAATTTATTTATATATTACTTTAATTATTACTTAAAATTATATTTTTCTAAAAAATATTTATATTTATATTTGGTATAAATATTGCCCTCATTGCTAAATTTTTTTAGATCCATCATTGTATAGACTAATGATTAATTCTCATTTAAAATGCTCTCATTGCATTGATTATTGAGATAGGGTTGTTTAAGACTAATGCAACATCTTACTTGCAATGAGAGAACAATTATTTAACAAGGACCCTTAACCTGCTCCTGCTCCATCAAAAGTTGAGTTGCCTCATCCATAATTCCCTGAGATAAATTGAGCAAGTGATGTGATATCTACTTGTCTACGCAACCACTAATTAAAAATGAAAATGTTAGGGAACAAGAGTCTCAAAAATTTAGTTAATATCATTACATGCTGATCTCATCATTATTATCACCCCCTTCACCTCTGCCTATCCTACTAAATTTGAGTCTCATTACATGCACCCTTATCATCATCCTTTTTTAACTCACTCATTCTTACTCAATGCAACCTTTTTCATTATATGCATTGGGCTTGAGCAACCTTATCTCGATAATCAATGCAATGAGAGCATTTTAGATGAGAATTAATCGTTAGCCTGTATAACTCCTTTACTATGTCAGTCTAAAATAAACAATAAGACATTAGATTATATCATTTTTTTTATAAAGAAAAAAATGGTATTAGTGGAAGAAGGTGAAAAACTTATTGCATACCCAGTATCATTAATAATACGATGGATCTATTGTCAGGTATGTCTTCAATATCATTGCATGCACTCAAATGTTCTATCAAACTCATCGAATGTCGGAGGAACATTAACAATAGTAAGTAACCATCTATCCCATGCCTAAGTTAATCATGTGGAAAAAGCAAAGCAAGAAAGAAAAGTAAATATTTTTGTAGTTTACAGTAAATAAAATGTCATGTCAATAAAAAAAGCTCACTTTTCATTAAATAAAAAATAATTTTTGACTATAAAATGATTCTTGGCCTAAACAAGTTTTTCATAGCCACAAAATTGTTCTCAACTTGAATGATTTTTGGTGTAGTATTTTGATAAATGCTTTTCACGATGTAGCATTTTGATAATTTATTTTATTTTTATCGCACCTTAGTAAAAAAAATTGTGGAAAAGCATACCAATCAATCAATATATAATATAAAATTAATAGTAAGCTCCATTATTATTACATAATAGAAAATATGACTTATTTGAAAGCTCATGCATTTTATGGCGAAATGTATCTCGTTTTGTGTGGGTGTAAAGAAACAATATTTTTAACAGGATTATATATATATATATATATATATATATATTAACTAAGTTAAGTGTAAATATTTGATTTCCGTTTTTTTTAAATTAAGTTTTAGGTTATTCATGCAATGTATTGGCAAGTTACTGAATTTATCTAAATTTAAATGGCAATAGAAGAATTATCTTCTTGGTGAGTGAAATTACATGCATTTGATTAAAGCCTTTACTTTGATAAATATCATCATAAAGCCAAAATGGACATTATCCAAATTACTCGGTCTTGATCTGAAAGATAGTGTTAGAGATAAAAATAATTAGCGCCATGGTAACTTCAGAGATAAGCTGTGAAAAACACAGAGATCCTGAATGATAATGAAAGCAGAAGTTGAACAACCACTAAGGGGTCCAAGTCCCCAGATAAACATTATAAATAATACTACTCTTCATCAATATTGGTCCGATCGAATTCAACTCTAGTAGTAGTTATCTCACTACACATAATCGCTTGCTATCAAGACAGCAGACAATATTGCTAACAACTGCTCTTGACATTATACGATTTGTAGTAGGAAAAGCACGCCTAGGACCAAAAGGAAGTAAGATTATTCAACACAGCATTAATTATTTCACACGCACATATCATCATGGTGCTCTTGGAGTGTGACGGTTATTAGCTCCTGAGGGCGGGTAGTCATGGAGTTCCAAGTCCATCCTCTCAGTGATGGTAGTGCTTGGCTCCGCCAACTCCAAGTTTCTCTCTGTTGTAATCTGCAACAACACAAGTTCCCAGTTAACATGAAACGATCTAGTGTGCAATTTTGCACCACGTATCTTGTGCTTTGGCCTCAAGTTTGTACCTTGTGGGTGTTCTCCAAAACATGAACTTCTGTGTCCTGCATAAGTTTCTCAGTTCCTGCATTTACAAACACACAATCAGTATGATGAAAAACAAGGGGGTGAAGAAGAGCAGGAGCAAGAGAATATGGGGAAGGAATTATTTGTTTACTTGTGATTGGGATTGCTTGCAAAGATAGAAGATGAGAGAGCCCTAGCAGAACCACAAAGAGACGAAAGAGACTAGTGCTTGCCATTTCTGCAATAATAGAGGCCGCTTGCTTAGAAACAAGGTCAGTTCTCTGGTGTGTATGTTGCTTCCCATATGGTGAGTGGTTCTCAGTTTATATAATGCAGGTCTGTGAGACTTTTGTGAATATTTTTTTGAGTATGGCATGTGGGTGATTGGAAAAGCAATCATATTGGCGAGGGTCAAAAAGGTGATAGCAACCCATCATTCCATGGGAGAAACAACGCGTTTTCAGTCTTCGGGCATATTAAAAATAAGGCTACATCATGATGATGATCATGAGAAGATAAAATTGTTGTGGCTTGTGAGTGAGAAAACACAAAACCAGTAGTATCTGTTTAAGTCAAAGATAGATGGTAACAGAAGATGGAGTACACTATGGAAGTGGAAAGATGACACAAGGGATGTTTGCTGGGGCAAAACCAAAGTTGGTACACTAATTGAGGTCAATATGTGGTGGGATTTACCATGAAAGCTTCAGCATATTCATTCCATTTTCCCTACATGAAAAGCAGCCAAACAGTCAACCTGGGTATATCCAAGAAACTCACTGAAAAGCATAGGCACTCACATATTCACAATTCTAGTGCTTCAATTCCATGGTGTATTTTCAACTGAAACATAAAAGCAAACAGGTGATAGGCACCAAATGTGGTAGTGATCTCTCCATCATGGGTATTATCTCTAGCTCATTGTATGGTAATGTCAAAGCAAAATAGTGAGTTGGTTCTTGTGCCCCTACCCCTATAGTGCATGCAGAGATTTCAAAGATGTATTGGCAACGTCACTGTTCTCCACTAAGTCAGACTAATATATACACGACAACATCCTCTCTAGATCTCTCTCTGCAAATGAAAATAAAAGAAAAAAAACTTTTGTAATGAATATAAGATGTAGATTAAAGGTTTTTTAAAGTAGAAGGGAGATCAAGCTTGGAAATTTCAATGAAAAAGGTTATGCTTACCGTAAGCAGAAAGATAAGTTTTTAGTTTTACTTGAGTAGTAGCTCTCTTTAAAACTATCCATTCAAGAAGCAGACGAATTTGGCAGTAACTATCATGTTGCAATACAGTGCTATAAAATATATATATATATATATATGAACGTGATTGACTTTGGAATCAAAAGGGCTTTTCAGTTTTCACATGGTGGGCATCATAATTTCCTTAATGACAAAATGGATTTGTTGAAGATGAATAATAATTAATAACCAGACAGTAAAGTAGAAATGTTATGCAAAGCCATTACAAAAAAAGGTTGTTAAACCAGATAAGACGGAGACAAAATGAACATATAGAGAGAGAATGGTATTATATAGATGTACGTGCGTGAGTGATCTGTGAATATTGGCATAGAAAAACGGTCCTCAAAAGTTCAAAAGCACATGCAACATGTAAAAGCCTAAATACTAGCTGAGCTGCTAAACCCACTTCATATTGCTTTCTGCAATTCTGATACTTTTCGTGTTCATTAATCCTTGGAAGGAAAGCTAATACTCAACTTCGGGGAAATTCTCCATCTTCAGTTTGTTCACATTGGCTTTTGAAAATAATTAAATAGGGAAGAAACAAAATAAAGATATGAATTGAAAGTAATGCTCACTATTCGCTTGCTCATTTGAATCTGCTACGTCCCTTGCTTTCAACGCACCACTAATCCAAGAGAGTGACAGCCAACTTTTAACTAAAGCATTAATTATGTAGACTTTAATGTTAATGGTGGTGTGTTTTTATACCAACACTATTAAAAAAATAAAATTTAATGTCATTTTACTTTACTAAATTACATTTAAGTGAGAGATTTTGTCTCTCACTAAATTCATAATTAAAAAAGAGCTTATTAAATTTAGCGAGAGATCGTATTCCCCTCATTAATTAGCAAGGGATGTGGTCCTCGCTAAAAATTAGCGAGAGATTGAATCTCTCATTATTACTATTCAAAATTTAATAACTTTAACGAGAAATAATGCTATATCACTTATTTCTTATCATATCATATATTTATTATATTTATGCCAATGTCTTATGCTTTTAAAGTCTTATAATCTCCTTCTTTCTCAGTTGAACTTTTTCATCTATAATCATTATATCAAAAATTAAATATATATTATTTAATTGTATAAATATATCAAGTAATATATTATAAAAATACACACATATATACATATTAAATTTTCTTTTTAGTTATTAATGTGTTAAAAATATTAATATTTTATTTAAATTATTCTTTATATTATATTTTTAATAAAATATTATTTTAGTAGTGAAAATCAACTTGAAATAAAGAAAATATTAAATAATTTTATTATGAATATTTTAGTTAATTTTAAAATTTAAATTTTATTTTTAAATAAAAATAATTAAATCGAGTTATAAAATTAATATCCTTCATTAATTTAATATTTTAAAAAGAAATAGATAATTTTTTATTAATTTATTTTTTTTTAATGGTGCAAGCACTAAGAGAGGTGTATGTTTACTGATAAGGTCAGAATTGGATACTATTAATAGATGAATTGACAAAACCTGGTCCAATCCGCAATGCTTATCAAACACGACCATGGGATGTATGTGTACTGATAGGGTCAGAATTGGATACTATTAATAGATGAATTGACGAAGCTTGCTCCAATCCGAAATCCTTTCAAAACTGCTATAATTAAAAATTGGTCAAAAACTAATAACATTAGAAAAACCAATGAAAAATAGTAAAAATATTTTGTAGGACTTGATAAAAAAATATAAATCAATTTAATTATGACAGCTGATTGTTTATTGGCCAAAAAAGGCATATGACTCATTGGGGGCTTGCGCGTATTGCAAGGAAAGAGATGTTTTAATACTTGGTCTCATGAGACAAGTGTCCCCAAGCTTGTCTCTTCTTGCATCCAATTTTCTCTACATTATTGTAACTCAAGGTTTGTTGTTGTTGTAACCGTATAAGTATAGTGTGAGTTTACTATGGACTGTTTTTCATAATTACTCGTTACCTTCTTTCTTGGGAGAATTCCACCGGCGGATCTTAGAAGCATATTTGCATCAAAAAGACCAAACAAAGGAAAAATGATAATTAGAAACCTTAAAAAGATATTAATGATAATTGAAGGCTTTAAGATGTTGAAATGTTAGAAAAAAGGTCATGATGTTTATCGGCAATTAAAATATTTTTAATTATCAAAATAATTAATAGCAAGTTACTTTGGAGTTTGAGAAAAGTTGGTTGCAAATTTAAAAGAATATATAAAAAAGTTGGTCACAGAACCTCGCATCACGGCATCTCAATGTCTCTTTAGTTAAAATATATATATATATATATATATATAGCTTCTAAATTATCAATACCTCTTTTAGTTTTGTAATGCAAAATATAGCCACTAAATCTAGTTTCTAAACGAATTATTTGTCAAAAGTCAAGTGAAGTGAAGTGGCATCTCAATGTCCCATTCTTGTCATTCTTTCTTCTCCTTTCTCTTCTTTTCTGGGATCCAAATGTAGTTTCTCTTAGTGTGAGTTTAGTTTTTTTGTTAAAAATTTATTTGACAAAAATTAATTTAATAACAATTAGTTACTATAACAAAATTTATGTTTAGATATATATATTTTTAAAAGCTAATTTATAAAAGTAGAAGTTGTTTGAATGATATGTATAATTATTAAAAAAAGATATGGATTTTATGATATGTAATTTTTGTGATGTAAAACTTGATTTGTTAAAAAATATATAACTAATATAAAAATTGATATGGTAAAAAATATATATAATAAAAGAATGTATAAATAATATAAAATTCAAATTATATCACGATCAAAATTAATTGTGAAATAAAAAAAATCAGATTTACAATATATTAACTATTGAAGACATCTGTAATTATATTCTTAAAAAAACAAAATAAAATTCATATTATACTATTTGTGCACTTATTTTGAAAAAGGTGGACGAGAAGAAAGTTTGTGATCAGCCATGGGAAGAAAATAGAATTCGCTACAAGACAAGGGGCAGCGAATGAATTAAGTGCGCTCATTACGCAAATTGAAATGTACTCCCACGGTTTTGGAAAAACTATGACTCTGAGTTTAATTTTTTTTATAAAAATAAAATTACATTTTTTTAATAAATATTTATTAAAAACTATGTAAATTATCTCTATAATTTTATCATTTATAGTTATAATAAATAATTAATGAAGACTTGATTAACATAATTAATAAAGAATATTATAGTTTAATTTTTTTATTTACAGAAATAATTAATATATTTAATAATTTTTTAAAACTGTATAATATAATTTTTTTTATAAAAAAAAAACAGAGTGAGTAAAAGCCACTCGCAACAACGTTAGTAAACGGACTTTTGATAATTTTTAGAATGAATTTTTTGAAAATTTTATTAAAACCAAGCAACTTCCCACATTTTAAAAGTGGAAAAGTACTCTCCAAGAGTGGGAAGTTGTTTAACCCAGCAGACCTTAATCAAATATGGTTTCCTTGGATAGAAAAGAATTGGATTCCAACTATACAAAGAGAAAAAGGGCCCAAACTTGAAAGTAATTACTTGCCACGACTTTTTTTTTTAAAAAAAAACATTGGAGACGTTATTTGTGAAAAAAAAAATAAATATCATGTTCAAATTTGAACTCAAAATTGTTAAAGTCAGAAAGAAACTGAAATCAACGATATGTTAAAGAACCAAAGGACCATGGTTCTCCTATCAAGAGCGTGTGTGTAGGGCATCGTAAAGAAAATCATCAACATACGAATATATAAAGTGTAAAATATATAGTGAGTTGATTTATTGATCAGTGATTATTTGTGAGAAACTGGAGGGACTAGGGAGGGACCAAAATGGTGTGCAGCTAATAAATAATAAGAGGGAGGCTTATAAAAAAAATAAATAATAAAAGGGAGAATCACATAATGATTATTCAAACAAATAATTCACAGATGAGGACCAGTATCAAATGAATTGTAGTTAAAATAAAAACGTGAACTGTTTTTTTAAATAAAATTTATTATTAATCCTTATATGTAAATAATTTATTTGAATAGTCATTGAATGTGATTTCTCTATATATAATAAAA